AATTCCCTTTTTTAATCGTCCCTTCTTAGACCTTAAATTATTATTATATAGATTACCTCTTTTATATCGGCTATTATTATTATTTCTTCCTCTACTACTACCGTTGGAGGTACTATAATAGTTAAGAATTTCGCTAATAGTTTTTTCGGTCTTAGGAACCTTATTAGGTTTACTATTCTTATATTCCTTATCCTTATATTATAACGCGGTATAAGCGGCGTATATATTATACTATACGTTTTATTTACCTACTTAATTATCGATATTAATAAATTTATATTCTATACCTTTAAGGATATTCCGAGGGTTATAAGGGTCTAATTCGGGGTTAGCGAATATATAAGTAATTTGTATTAAGTATATAATATTATTTTCTAATACGAATTACTTTAATTAGTAGAGTAGGTAAGTAGTTTATATACGTAGGGGTATATTTAGTAGTATATTAAATACATTGTAATTTTTTTATTGGGTACGATTAGGAGGGTTAAGTCCGGTTCCGGGGTTTAAAGTAATAGGTATTAAAGCGGATCTAATATTAGTTCCGGTAATACTAATTTAGATTTTAGCGTTTTAAGGAAGGATTGAAGCGTTTTTTAGGGGGCTATTATTAGTATTATTATAGGGGATTGGAATTCTACTACGGGTTAAGGTTTGGTTATATATAAAATAGGGAGATTCCAGTATATCCTTTAGAGTAGTATAAAATTTAGAATATAAAAGAGCGGTTTTAATTAAAACGGATCATTCGTTTTGAAGCTTGTAGGGAATTGTAGATTCTCCCAATACTTTGTTAAAGAGGGGGTTTAATAGAATATATAGAATACTATTAAAGTTCTTAGTAATTATATTTATAATTTCCTTTTCGATAGTTCGTTAAAGGTTATTAATTTATTTAATTAAATTTATTAAGGCGGTATTATAGGCTTTTTAGAAAGATTTGATAGTATTCTTCAGTTTTATAAATTGCGTATAAATAGTAGTATTTTAATTGCTAATAATTTTATTGAAAAATATTTTCTAATTAGCAAGAGATATTTTTAGTAGGGCTTTATACTCCTTTACGTATTTGTCTAATATTTTACGTTATTCGATTATATATTAATTTAGGAGTTTGTTTTATTCCTTTAATAATTATTTAACTTAATCCTTAATATCGTTTATAATACTATTCTTATCCTACGCATTAATTATAATATTAGTTATTTCTTTCTTATAAAATTCGAATAGTATTAATAGTTTATTTTAGTCTTAAATTTAATAAATTTATTATTCGTTTAAGTCTTTTCTAAATAAATTTAATAAAATTATTATAGAATTTATAGATTTCTCTAGAAGTTTGTTTTATCAATTGAAATAGAAGTTTATAATATTATTATTACGATTAATTTTATTTTTAAAGTAGTTAATTAATTCTCTATTAGTACCGAATTTAATTAGGCGGTACGGGAGAGGCGTATTTAGGTTAGGACTTACGCTTATAATTTGTAATTTATAATTATAATATATATTTAGAATTAGTCTTATAGGTAGATACTTCTTATTTAATAAATATTAATAAGCACTTATAGAGGGGTATTGGACTATACGATTTAGGTTAGCGATTAATAGGGTATAGATATCGGTAGGTACGTTGAAAGGTTGGTTTAAGGGGATTGAATTATTATAATTATTTAGGTTTTTATATAGTTCTACCTTATTATTAAAGTGCGATGTTTCGTTAATATTATTATTTTTAAGGAAGGGACGAATTAAATTCGTTTTAATTAGTAATATTATAATTAGGTTATATAAGGAGGTACTATTTAGTACGTTGGATTCGATAAATAATTTAAGTATAATTTTTTAATAATAGATTTCTTTTAGTTAAAGTACGTTTTATAAGTTACGAGTCTAAGTATTTCTTATAATATAATAGAAATTAGTATAGAAAGTACGTAATTGTAAATTAGAATAAATATAAATATTATTATATATTTAAATTCGGTAGTAGGGGTAACTTTTAGTATTTAATATTTTATAACGTTTAGAATTTAAGTAGTGAAAGATAATAGGTATCTAAATTCGCTATATTTAGGGGTAAAGTAGAAATGGATTCTTTTATAGGTATTTAAATTCGCTATATTGGAGGGGAATTAAGGGTCTTACAAGTACTTTAATTATTGTAAAAGGGAATGATTATATATTTTAATCAGCGATTAATAGAAAGGTAAGGAAATTATTAATTAAATAAATAGGACGATTGTATAGTGCGGAAAGGTGGTTTTGTAGGTTGCGAAAGTATTTGAATTCGTTTTACGTATTTAAAATATTTTAAAGGAAATTGGTTGCGATACGATTGGGTGCTTTTACTAAGGAAGTTCGTTACTAGGCAATTTTACGATTATTATTGTACTTTATTAAGAAGGCGATAGTAATAAATGGTGTAGTGTGGTTCGGTCGAGAATTGTAATTAGTAATTGTAACTACTATATAATACCATTAAAAGGGTATTGTAAAAAGTATAGTAATATATAATTGTTTGAAAGTATATAAATTAATAATTCGAAAGAAAAATCGAGAGTAAGAGGCTTGCGTACGGTCGATAACTAAATAGAGTGCGCGCAAGCCTTATTTAATTTATAGGATTTATATAGGTAGAGTGCGACTATAAGTCGGTGGCTCTAATCAATTGACTAAGCCGACCGTGCCGTAGCGCGTATACTAGTTAGGTGATCTGACATATGACACCTCGATACCTTTCCGGTATTAATAATAAAATAATTCTATTATCTCATCGGTATTAAATCTATAGCCTTCTATTATATATACGAAATTTTACGTATATACAACGTAAAATTATAGAAAAATAGTATACGATCCTTTAGAATATAATTCTGCGTATAATAAAAATTACCCTTATAGTATTAATAAATAATAAAAGCATTATAGAAATACAATTTGAAATTTAGAGAAATTAATATACTATTCGTCCTATCCTTAAACAATTTGTTTAGTCGAGATTATAATTTTTATAGTAGTATAATCATCGAGTATTAATATTAAAATAGGATATTTTTTATATATATAGAGTACTTTCGTCCAAGCTATATATAGACGTAATCCTAATATTACACCATTTAACCCTATAGGTCCAAAACGACTGCGCCACGGGGTGGCGGGGAAGTGGATGGGGGCTGACTAAGGTTGAACGTCTGTTATAAGAGACTAAAGGAAGTATTTTACTATAGAAATTAGTAGAAAAAGTACTTCTACTTTACTATTGGTTACCCGGATAAGCCGGTCGCTACTATTGGTCGCTACCCCTGCAAATTCATTGCGCTAACCTTTTAAATACCTGCAGAGGTGTATACCGCACGGACTGCGGGGCTCCGTATACATACAAGTACTCGAGTTCTTTTTTGTTGTTCAAGTAACAGAAATGACAGGCAGAATTCTCTCTCGTTTAGTGTACGTGCGTGTTCGTTGTAAGTTGTTGTATGTGACACACAGCCTATGTATGTACTGCATCATCTCGAACTATCCGTTTTCAGGTTCCAAGGCCTGTCTACAAACTGGCGGTTTTACCAATGGCGGTTACAGAAACGCAACTTATGTACCTCAAGGTTTGGCTTTTCAAAGAGATTTGCGCAGTCTGCAATACTTGGCTGAAAACGGATAGCCCGAGATAATGCGTGTGTATGGTACTCGTAGCCTAGCTTCCACAACGATAACAAGCAAGTAGAATAGAACATCGAAAGATACCTACCTAGGTACTTGTAGATAAGAGTTGAGGTGTGTCTGACTTCTTTCACTTCTTTCACTTCGATAGCAGGTATGTAACTAAAATCATCGAAGCTAGGTATTTGCTTTGCAATAGATAGATAGGAGCGCTCGGGGTGGGGGATACATACATGGATAGTAGATGTCATGACACCTGAATTATAAGGTAAACTGACCTTCTATTTACATAGCAGGGGAGATTCCAGCCATTTCGTAATAGTGTAGCGGGCTGAACTATTTTTTTGTCATTCAACCCGGCTCCTACTATAGCGTTTATTGTTATATTTTCAACCTTGATATTTGCCGGTGAATGATTACCATCTCTGGTTCATAGATGCTGGCAAAGTAGTAGCTCATAACTCATAACTCGACTTGGCGTTGACGAAGAAGAGATCGGATAGACCAACATAGCACACACACACCTGACTGATACTCGACCTTTGACAGATCATAACGGACAAGGTAGCAGTATGTTTTTCGTTGCTCAGAAAGGTTCTTGCTCTCCTACACCATGTCGATCGATCCCTTGTTTGTCATTGCTATCTATATATATGGTAGGCACACGCCGCCGATAGAGTTTAATTCATACTCGTTCAACAAGCCATTACGACATGCGCATAATCTACAAACAGCATACGCGGCGAGATATGAACGAAAGAACGAGATATAGAGCAAGGGAACGTCCAATTTCAATCAGGATTATATGATATACCACTCCAACTAAATCGGGATATAAATGCCCCTTCATTAATATCCACAGGCAGACAAAGTCAAAGATCCGTAGATACACACACAGACACAGATGAAGACCAAGTACAATCAAATCATCACCACTCTCATTCTATTCCGCCCCATTTATGCCTGGCTGGCTGGCATTCGGAAATTGTCCAAAAAAGATATTAAATATACACAATACTCAAAACCGAGGTTTTGTGGTTGTTGTTTTGTACACGAGGTACACAAATTACTTCGAAACTGTGCCGAAGATGAGCAAGAAAGAAAGGAAAAACAAGATGCCAGTTCCCCAGACGGTGTTGACAAGCCGGCGCAGCGCTATCCAACCTGGAGGAAAATTAAGAATTGAACAGTGAACAGAAACGCCGGTGGCCGCTGAAAAGTGGTTGGTGATGGCAAGTGGTGATGGTGGTGGTGGTGGTTGCTTATATATGCGTATCGTTGTTGGGTATGTGACATGAGTAAAGACATGGTTGGTTCCTTTGTATGGTGACTTGCTTTCATGACGTATTTGCGTGCAGTTGGTCTTATGTTCCCCTCTCCTTGTGTGAAAATCCCTTCCCACCGCTTTATTCCAAAGACAAGGAAACGAAATATATATATCCGCTCTTTTTGTATGTTTGATGTTATTTTTTTTCTCTTGTTTCTTCCTCGCGCTTTAAGCTTGCGCTTTCCCGGCTTCCCTTACAGCGCGCATCCAGCGATCTTCCTCGCCAGTGCTGCGCAGAATGGGCGCCGACCTCAAAACGCCATCAGATGAGTTATTCATGATGGCCCTGACCTCATGAATGGACTTGGTACCCATGAGGGACATGCCCTTCTGTAGCAGAAGAGCAATGCCTGCACGAACGAGGACGGCGTCGCCTTCGAAAACGTACACGTCCCAAAGTCGGGTGGCCTCATCCAGAGCGAGGTGGCGAGTGAAGAGGCCAGTGAAGATGTCGCCCAAGTAGAGATCGGGATTATGATCGGGCAACTTGATCAGGTGTTCATGGAGGCTGGGCGACTTGTGTTGGAGGGTTTGGAGTAGCAGGTTGTAGGCCGAGGACATGGCGGTTCTGTCGCACGTGTGGAAGCTCAGCGGCAAGGAACGGTTCAGGACGTTGGCAAGCGCAATGAACGCGTCGGTGGCGGAGGGAAGGTTGAGAAGCAGAATGGCGGCAATTGTCTAGTTGGTCTGTTAGTCTCTCTCTCTCGCGGGATAACTTGTCAGAGAAACTTACATTGCAGCCCGGAACATATCCGATATCACTCCGATACATGCAGTATGCGCTGAGAACATCCACCAGGCTTTGGTGAAGGGGCCCTCCAGTCTGGAAGATGCGAAGGTCAGGGAAGGTATACTCTTCCACGTCCTTCTTGATGTCATCAAACCAGGCCGCAGCGTAGGAATCGTCGGTGCTGCCTTGTCCGTCGTTCACTCTTTTTTGGGCATCATTGGCCCGCTTCAGGGCAGCCCTGAATGAAGCATCAGAAAGTGCGAGCCCGTTGCCAATCGCCTTGCTCCACACAGCACCTCGACTGCGTGGCGCAATACCACGCCACCATAGCTCTCGTGTCCTGCGCTCACGGATGGCCTCGTCCCAACGAGGGATGATGTTCTCCTCCCAAATATGCATCAAATTGTCGGCTCTGGTATCACGGTTCTCGATCCGGGCCTTCTTTGTCGCTTCTCGTCTACGCTCGGCCTCGAGGCTCTGAGCCATCATCCTCTGGTACTCCTTTAGATGGCGACGTTCCTCGGCGGGATCCTTTGGCGGGAGCCAGGAAGGACGAGTGCGGGACAAAACAGCTTCCTTTTCCTTGGACGGCGGTAGAGGGTCGATCATGACATTGGACTTGCGAAGCGGCGGGAGCTCAGGAAGTCCCGATTTCACACGGGGCTTCCCGTCAGAGTTTCTGCGAACAGACGGCGTGCTGGACCGCACGCCCTTTGCTTCCAGCTCTTCGGCATGTTCCTCCAGCTTTTCCGTGAGCTCCTTGGCATCGGAGTTGAGTTCAGCCAATGCGGCAGACCAGCTCTTGGATCTGGCGAGTTCTAGAGGGGTGACAATGGTGGAGGCAATGCTGGCTCTCGTAGGCACTGCGGTATCGGACTTCCATGTCGGCGACCTAAGGGATCCCTGGGCTGCTGCCACTGGTGGAGTGCCATTTCCCACACTTCGTACTCTTTTTTCAGGAGGAGCGCGTTCTGGAGAAGGAGCTTTGGAAGAAGGTTGGCTTATTGTTCGTTCCGAGGGGGGCCTAGGCGAGATTGGCACATTATCAAGCACGAGCCCGTCAGGGATGTCGTCTCCGTCATCTTCGTCGCACTCCCTCTCCAACTGTCTGGCTGTCTTTCGCTCCCGGCTCGATTGCCAGCTACTCCTCCGTGGCTTCATGGGAAAGCTAGTCTGGAGATTGGGGCTAATACTGCGTTGCCGTGTCGAGGAGGGTGATCGGTTTCCAAGGGAGCGCATAGGAAGAGGGGCAGTGTGAAGCTCGGGGGTAAGCCCCAAGCTCGCGACTCGGCCATTGACAGGTCGTAAATGACTCTGGATATTCGGGAGGGTCGGACGGGGTTTGCCCGTTGATGAGACATCCCGCTTCTGGCGGGTTTTGGACGGACTGCGGGAAGATCGACTGCTCTTGGAGGGTACTCGCAATTCGGAGGAAGGGTTAGAACTATACAGCATGGGCGAGGGCTTCAGGTTCTTAGTTAGCCCTCGAACATCGACATGGGATTCATCCTGGAGTCCAATGTCTTCAAAGTGGCTAGCGTCAGCAAGCACGCTGTCATCATCTGAAGGTACCGAGTTCAAGGATGAAGACTTGGAAGACTTGGAATGTGTCAAGCCTGGCGGAGAGCTGGGGCCGGGGAGATCATGGACGGATCGCTCGTATAACATCATCTTTGCCACATATATTTGCGAACAAAAGCTGATAATTTGTAACGGGTTGGAGGTGAGGTTTGCTTCTTGGGGCGGGCCCTAATAGCTGGGAAGGGTCCTTGGTCCCAAGTGGCCTGGTTCAAAATGCTGCAGAAGGCGGATTGATACAAAGCGCAGCGCAAGCGCACGTTTTTGGAGATTGAGTTATCGTCGGGGAGCTGCAGGGCTGGCTGGCAGCCGTTGGTTGGCTTACAGACGCGCGCACTTGAGGCTGGGCGGCAATTGGAGAAGAGGCGCCCCTGGAACACACGTCGAATGTCTCAACTGATGCCGATGGTTTCGCAAAGCAATGGCCAGTTGGAGTGAGTGGGACAAAAGATGGCCTCGGGATGTTTGGATAAGAGATATAAAGTGTTGTATCTCTACAGGTGAGTTCTCGGAAATAACTATGCCTCTTGGGTCATAAACGATGGTGATGGTGGTCGTCGTTATCAGAAGCGAGGGTTGAGTTGGCGGTAGTGGTGGTGTGATTATTGATGATGTAACGAATGTGAGGTTGAGGGGATGAATGGTTGTTTGGTGGTATGAAGATGGAATAGGAGGAGAAGGTGCGAACTAGCAAAAGCGAATGAAGAGTTCGACACGGAGGAAATATCCGATCGATGAAGATGGATGACGACGGTGGTCGAATGCGGTCAAGAGCGAGAGTAGAAGTGGTTGGGTTGAAAGAAAAACGAGTGTAAGGCAGTGTGAAATTGAACACACAGGCCGTGGATGTGCGACAAGGAAGACGCGAATCAATACAGGTCCCGAAGCCGAGATTGATGATGAATGATGAAAGACCAGAACGAATGACGGAAGACGGTGGGCGGATAAGGGAAAGGAGATGCAGGCCTGCAGGATGGCTGGCAACTAGCAAGTCGGCATCGAACAGGAATCCAAGGAAGACTTGGACCAGGTGAGGTTGTGATTTGTGAGAATTGGACGAGGAAATAGCACCAGCGATGCGTTGAAGTGGGAAAATCAAGGCACGGACCTTTTTTCCCTTGTTCCCCCCTTGGCCCGCCTGCCGCTAAGAGGTCCCCAGGTTCCGCTTCAAGGCCCGCTTACACCACTGCTGCTCAAGCAGCGACAGTTCACCAACCATCCATTGCAGCTGCCGGGCGTTGCAGACCTGCCGCCCTGGCAGAAGTCCACTTTCCTCCACTTCTGCAAGCAGAAAAAAAAAAAAAAAAAAAAGACTCGGTCGAACTGGGACCCAAATTGGCCATTGGGCCCGCGAAATGGAGCTCACCACGTTGGATCCACCTCTTTTTAGCTGCTTCGAGATTCGAGCCAAGTTCGATCTAGGGAGAAGTGTAGTTTGTTGTAGTGTACCGAAAATATCCATGGCAAAGGAGAAGGAAGTGAGGAATATCCAAACGAGATTCCCTTCTCCATCAATGGAATTCAACCCATTCGCTCCCGGGATCTCTGTCCCGCTGTCCGGCCACTCCGGCGCATCTTGACCAAGTTGACGACTGCAGCCGTTAATTGCAAGATAACGAGATTTCTCTCTCTCGATTAATCCCGTGGCCGACGTTACCAACACCAGGGCCGGAGCTGCACTCCTGTCCCGGCACTGTTTGCGATAAATATGGTTCCCGATTGCAAAGCAGGCTTTCCCTCTTGCCACCATTCATCATCCAGCAACCGGACGGGAGCGAGCATGAGTCGTGCTAGAACGCTAAAGATTGCAGGATCATGACGGAACCCCATCACTCTACAGAGCTTTCTCCAGATCTCCGAGTCTGGCCCTTTGAAAAAGAGACGGCAAACACGTCTTGTCCCTGTCTGCCCGGCTAGTTGAGGAACTGTGGGATATAAAACCAACAAGACAATGCACGTAGATGAGGGAGGAGGATGACAAATTAGCTACAGGCTTGTTTGGCTCGATATCGTAGTGCATGTACATAACGCATACACGAGCGGTAAAAGCCAATCATGAACTTTCCTCCTCTTGTATCACCCATCCCCATCTCAGTCACCATTTTCATTACAAGGAGAGGGGAGATAACGAAGCCGAAAACATGTCGGTTAGGACAACTCAAAATCAAGTCATCACGGTCAGAACTCTATTCTACCACTGCTAAGAAGGCATTGAGTGAGCATTTATCCAAGTGGGCGCCAGAAAAGATGCTTGAAGTTCAAGTTCGTAGAGCCAGCCAGCTGACCAATCAGAAACCAGCTCCCTGATGTTAATGCTTATGCCAGCGACGGGAAATGAGATGGTGGGGGCAACGGTCAATTAAATGCGGAGAACTCCTGTTTTAGATTTTCATCGTCAATGGAGCTTGCCGTTCGCCATCGCCCGGCGGCGGGATACTCACGGGAGCTGGAACCCCCCCCCCTCCCCCTGGAATTCCATCGTGGATTCCCAAGACCACTGCCGAAAGGAAGGTCCAGCGATCCTTCGAGAAGCACCAGAAGCGCCACAAGGAATGACCCAAATGTAAGGCACTGGGACTCGTAGGGAAGAAAGCCAAGACTGGCCAAGGCGAGCCAACATCAGACAAGCCCTTTAGCCCAGGGGTCGACGACATTGGATCGAGGTGAACCTCCACGGGGGTCTGCCACGAGGGAGGCCGGCTTGGCTATGGCCTCACGTTGGGGGCGGTCCGCCGGTAGCGGTGCGGGCCATCAGGGTCACTTCAGTTGGGCAGGTCGTTTGTCGATCCATCAAGTCTCAATTACCCTCTGGCTCTTTCGTTCTCCTCGATCCTCCTCACAGGCTGCCTCCTTCTGGTAGTCTGACGGATACCCAACATACAGTTGGCAAGATGGAATGATTGAGCAACCCCCCAATCCCTCCATAACACTCGTCACGTCACATCGAACAACGGGACGAAATGGTCCAAGTAACGCCATATTGCTTGAGACTCGAGGCCGATGAGGATGCTTGTCCCCTTCGGTCATTGTGTTTTAGTCGAAAGGAACAGTATGCTGGACAGTAGCATTCCATCCATGAGACAACGTCCCGCAACCGCAACCCCGCGTCCACATGGCTCTAGCCTGTTACTGTCGAGCTGTCAAAGAGATGTCATGTCCAAAAAGACACCATAAATATACATATGATGGCAAATTTATGAACTACCTATAGCACAAAAGGATGTAATACCCTGCGAGTCACTCAGACTCCAATCGCCGATCTTCCTTTCTGGTGTATCTCCTTGTCAGCTTTTGTTTCGGAGTAGCCTCAATCATAGTCTCAGTCTCGCTCACTGTCCTCCCTGGCACTCGCCGCGTGGAGCTTTCTTTCCCCAGGTTTCTCAGATCGCGGGGGGAATATCTCCTGTTGCACAGGGACAGTCAGTCCTTTGCTTTTCTTACTCTCTCGAGACGGGAGTCCTGTTACCCAAAAGCTTGCTTCAACAAACGCGATATCACGCCGCTGTCATCTTCTTCGTTGAAACACTAGCTGGCAATGTGTTTCCTCTGATGAACAAAACAAACAAGTATCGTCATGACGTGCCTCCTTCCAGGGAAAAAGGGTGTATAGGCTGAAGTAGGTCGTCTGTAGTGCAGACAGCTTGGCCGTGACGTGACATCTATTGGTCTCGGTTCTATTTCGAGACATTGTATCCGTCTTTGTGATACTGAATAGTATCGTCCAAAGCTGTGAAATCTGACGCTGACTGACTTTGATACCATTCTCATAGTCTAGCTGGCAAGAGCAAACGAACGAGGCGCCTTCTATTCTAGGTAGACGGGCACAGGGAAAGACTATCAAGGTTCTCACTCGAAAGTTTCGCCAATACACAGGCAGCACCGAGTGCGACGCCCTCCTTCCTTCAGCACAATGAAGTGAAAGATAGAGCTGATCGATATCTCGCAAAAGATTTTCAAAATCTTCACAGACAAGCAACATCCATGAAGTCAATATCCATCTCTCGAATTTCTTTCAGCAACTCGTCTACAACCAACCAAGATCTCAGTCACCACCATTGACGAGATCTCATCAACAACTTCCACAACCCAAACAGACAAACAAACAATCAACGAACATGCATGAACTCTCCATCCTCTCCGCCCTCGGCATCTCTCTCCTTGCCTCCTTCTCCTTTCCCCTCGCCCTCACTCACCCCACAGCTTCAGCATCTCCATCTTCAACTTCCACACTCTCCTCCCTAGTAGTAGTCCCTCTCGCTCCCCCTCTCCCTCACAATAATGACCACAACAACGACAACAACAACGATAACAATGAAATAATAACCGGCAACTTCTCCCGCTCCTGCGCCCAAATCACCCTAATGAACGGGTACTTCCTCGCCGCGACTTGTCGTCCTATCGAGCCGGCCGTTGTCTCTGGTGACCCAGAAGAGGAATGGGAAGTACAACAAAGACAAGTGGAAGGGAAGAGGAGAAGGGGGATGACGGGACTTTTCAGTCCCAATCCCAAACCCCAGAATTCAACCAGCTTGACCTGAATCTGTGTATCGGGTTTGACCAGGGGACCACCACCACCACCACCACCACCACCGCCGGCGGCGGGGGATTCGGTTCAAGTCGGTTATGATGTCCCTGGGAAATTGATCTGGCAGGCGCTGTGAGTTTCTTCTTTCTTTTTTTTTTTTTTTTCCTTTCTTTCTCTTTCAATTTCCTTCCCTTCTTTCCTTCCTTCCTTCCTTCCTTCCTTCCTTCTTTTTTTCTTTCTTTTTTTTTCTCTCCCATCCCCTCCCCTCCCATGAGTGGCCCTGTGATTGAATGCTGCACAAAGGAGAAGATAGATGCCTTACCCATAGGCAATAAAGCTGACAAGTCTTGAATTCCAATCACATCAATCACAGAGGCAAATCTGCAAACTACTGCACTGATTGCAACCTCACAACAACTGCCGGCCTGCCGGTGCGCCTGTCTGAACTCAAATGTAGCTGTGTCCCAATGACGGCGGCGGGGGGTTCTGATGCTACTGTTATTACCGTCTTGGACCTTGGTATGTTTCTTTCTCTCCATCCAGGGCAGCTCACGTTGGTTCGACAAAAGAAGAGAAAGTAAGTAGCTGACGACAATATTTGTCTTTATAGACGAAGGCGTGGAGAACAGAAATGGTACACTTGTTTGCCGTGGCGGATTGGGGTCAGGAATCGGTTCTGGTCCTTTGCCTGCCTGAGGACTGAGGATCAGACTGAGGAGGGAAAAGTGTGGGAAGAGAGCAAGACGGACGGATCCTCCTGTGGGGTGTACCTGTGACACAGGCGATGCAAGTTCGAACTTCTTCAGTGCATCGCGAGTTAAAGCACATTTCATACATAGGTACGCAGTGGTGAGCTCGTTCAATCTTGATGTAATGTCAGTCCTGACTATCAACTCTGGAAAAGACCTTTTGTGGGTCATCAACCCATCTGCAAGGAGTTGTCTACATCTACATTGAAACAAAACAATCCGTCGAACGCCGTCTTCCATGATATGATGTAGCCCTTCGGCATACCCAATGCCGCCATTCCCAACCAACCCAATGATGCCAAGCCAGCCGGCTTAATGAATTGAAATCCCCCCTTTAATGCGTAGCCCAAATTGAAAATGTACAGCCCTTCTAATGTTGTTGTAGAGGTAGTGAGACGTCGTCTTGATATTGACCTCAAACCTCCCAAACCAACTCAATCACCTCATCCATGCTCTCGCCCACCGCCGGTCCAGCAGCTTTGTGCACATAAATCTGTCTGAACCTCTTCTTACCCTTCCTTGGTGATATCCACGCTCTACCTTCCTTTGCCCCTCCGCTCTCTTTCTTAATGGTCGTAGACTGTGATGGTGGCTTTGACGATGATGATGAATCCTCCTCCCCAACATCAACATCCACCAATCTCCAACTCTTCTTCTCCTTATTCACCTGCAACCTCCTCCTGACCGGACCATAACTAAAGGCAAATTTCTCCTTCCGTTCCGCTTCCTTCCACGTTCCCTCCACCCTTGAGAGGTCAATGTCGTCGAGCCCATTGGCAAGGCCAGGGTATTGCGTAATCGAATATCCCAGACTCAGCAGACTTTCCTCCTCTTTCCTTTTCTTGTTGTCTTTAGAAGAAGAAGAAGAAGAACCAGTCCCGAACCGAACCCTCATCAAAAAACAATCTCCACAAACCTCCTTGGCCACCCTCGCCATCTTGGCCACCGGCGCGTGGTACCAACTCTTCCAATGATGCAGACTCAGCACCGGCCAGATGCCGCTCTCAAAGAAACCTGAGGGGTCCCCCTTGATATCATGCTGATTCAGCCCCTCCACCAGCGTCAGTCGGGTTCTTGTGTGCGAGTAGATGCAATCCCGCAAGATTCCGTCGCCGGTTTGGACCGAGGCAGTGGTGATGCATTGCTCCAAGTGGGGTGCCAGTTGTCGCGCTAGGGGCAAAGACAAAAAGGAGCCGGCGCCGCCAAAGGCCATGAAGCCCCAGGCTTGCACGGCCATGAAGTCATCGGATAGAGCGCCGAGCCAGGCGGGACGGGTGTGGTCGTATCGCGAAAGGGTTTGGGAGAGGGGGGAAAGGGAGGTGAAGAAGGTGTCGTCGTCTAGGATGGCGAGCCAGTGCGGAGGCTGGGATGACTGGGAGGAGTCGATGACGGAGAGGAGTTCCTTGATGACGAGAAAGTGGTGGTGCTCGACGGGCACGGGACGAGGGTCGGGTTTGCCGTCTTTGAGGTTGAGACGCTTGAAGACCTTGGGAGGGACGAAGGTGGCGATGATGCCTGCGGCGCGGTATTCCTCTTCGAGTAAGGTTAGGTTGAACGAGTTTCGGGTGCTGTCGTCTTGGTGCTCGGGCGGTACGGCGTCGGCGATGGTGCCGACCAGACGGGCGCCCGTGCCGGCTAGCCAGTGGGCAAAGGCTGGAATGGCTTCGCGCATGCGCTGATACTTGGAGGCGACGCCGAAAAGCAGGTGCGGGTACTGGGCGTCCTTGGGGTAGGGCATAGGCACCTCGAGGGCAAGCGGCTCGCAGGGGATGGGCTCATCGTGGGAGCACGAGGTGAGATCGAGGGCGGTGGTGTTGGTGACGAGTGGCCCGGCGACGTTGGTGATGGTGCTGCGGTCGAAATCGGCCTTGTAGACGGGCTTGATGCAGCGGCGCGAGTAGAGGATGTTATCGGTTAAGCCAAGCTCGGGGCGACGCAGGAACTCGAGGTCCTTGGGACACTGGCCTGGTTCGAGCTTGGGTCTGTAAGGTCGTTGTGCGCCTTTCAGAGTGGTCTGGTCTGCTGGTGGCGGCGGGTTGCTCCCTCCTCTTCCTCTTCCTCCTCCTCCTCCTCCTCCTTGCCCTTTCCACTCCCCTATGCCTCCCCACTTGTCGAAGGTGGTCGGTAGTAGAGAGCCATGATGACGTAGTCGGGCGATGCTCCACAGAACAAAGATGAAGACGAGGGTGACGATGATGGAGAAGCCCCGAGTTGGACGCTGGAATAGTAGTACCTTGACGGTCATGGTTTCGACATTTGAACTCCCACCAGTGACATGAATCCCAAATGATGTCGAGGAGTGTCGAGTCTTGAAGATGCAAGAGCTAGCGAGCGAAGCAGGCGTAACCAAGTAAGTAGTGAGTCGTGTTGGGACGCTTTTTGTCTTGGCAGAGGAAGGAGATAACGAAGGAAGGAAGGAAAACAGAAAAAAAGGAATGGAATACTTATCGGGGATGAACAGAGAAAGAACAAGAAAAAGGGAAAAGAAGAGAAAAAGGCAGGAACCCTCTACACGGACTGGTAAAGAAGAAGTGTAACGGACGCTAAGTATCGGTTACAAGTCACGGTGATCCCTTTCCCATGCGGGCTTCCGTACCTACCACCTTCTCATCGTTCGTCATTCGTTCCGTCCCGCAGTTCGTATATCAGTCAACTTACCTAGGTAGTGTTGGTGGAGTTCCTTCTTGCGTGCGAGAACAGACCTTGCCCCCCTTTTCCTCCCACCTCTCAGCTTTTGAAGGCAGAACCGTTCCAGTTTGAGCCGGGAACTTGGGATGCATTTGGCGGCAAAAAAACAGGGATGGGAGGTTGAGAAACATTAGATTTGAGACAGCAGCAACAGACCCCCGGAACTCTTGCGACTCCACAATATCTCCAGACGACGTTGCAAACCCGTTCCAGTGTGACTTGCAGTGCGTTGCATTTGCTACTTTCAACCGCCAGTCGGCCGATCGCGAACATGGGAGTGGGCTGCTGGTGGACCTGGCACTTGTTGATCTGTCATATCGTGGTGCTTTAACCCTTCGATTTCCTGTTCCTGTCAGCACCTTTTTCTATCCTCTTCCAAGGAAGATGGATGGGGATCGTTGGAGACTGAGAGCCACTCGACTTGATAAGTTGCCATATCCACACCGCCGATCAGATCATTATCGTTAACAATTTCTGAAACAAAATCTGTTGCGCTTTCTGGAGCTCCTTCATCCGCCATCTCTGGATGGGACATATTCAGAGAGATGAAAATGATTTTTAATTGCAAACGGTCTTCTTGGTTCGGTAGCCGTGGGAAAACCCCAGATAAGCATTTCCAGGGTGACAACGGCTGTTCTTAGAAGTGGACTAGTATTCCTAACAGCTTTACATATGAGCTACTAAGCGAGTCAGTTAGTGCATCCATCCATCGTCCCACTCTAGGTGAACCCGCTTTTCCTTCCGCCTCCCCCACAAAGCCAAGTCCAAAGCCAAGTCGGCCAAGAAGACGACAAGTCCAAGGGACCGACATCTTTATTTTTTCACCACTCAACCAAGCAAACGAATGAGAGATGATTTTTGCACACACGATAAATCCCTCAAGATAGTTGCAATATAAGGGGGGTTTCCTCACGTCGTCAACGAGAATTACGCCCCACCCCAAGCATTATACCGGTCCTCCTCATCCACAACAACGGCCGGGGGCATTAAGAAAAAAAGGGGGTGATCGACGTACCACACCACTGCCACAAGATCAACCATGAACGGGCACTCAGGACATTACGGTGTTTACTAACCAGAATAGTCGAAAAGCCGTTTTGTAAAAGAGGTGCTGTTCAGCCTGGAAAGCATAAACAGAAAGTGCTGAAGAAGATTTGCGCAGTATCAATCAGAGGTATACCGTATAGAGTAAGCCGGGAATCTGGAAAAAGGGTACAAGAGGATGTCATTGTTGTTGCTGTTGTTGTTATCTAAATTTCTGCAAGAGGTCCTTCTACTAGAAGGGATGATCCTGTTCCGCCTTCTTCATCCATGTTTTGCATTCTCCGATTTGATTTACCGAAGTGGTCGTAATGATGAACCGACGACCATGGACTGTCCAACACGGCTTGCGTAGTTTGAGAAAAGGCCGCGACAAAACTATGCCGGGGGCTACAAAAGATCTGGATCGCATCGGACAGAGTCCATTAGAGATTCGTTCCATTTAGACACTGCCTCGAATTTATAAGGTTCAAGAGATGGTTCAATAGGTGAATGCGTGTATCCAAGGTATGTAACGTTATGTATTCGGTTTGTTTTTCTTACAACCATTCGCCTACCTATCTGATACTTACAGTACCCAGGATAAGGATGGGTTCAATGATGGTGACATAAAATGCCTAGTCTCATTTCACTCAATCCCCGTTGTTGCAGACGGGAATCAATTAGGTGCAACAAGAGAAAGATCCCCAAGAGAAGCAAGCTATCTGTCAATGCTCAACCCATCATCTCATCGGGTACAGCATCCCATCCGTCCGTCCGTCTGTATCAAATTACCTTGTATTTACCTACTGCCACTGCCGCCGTGTCATTATACAACCGCTGGCTGTGTCATCTGCCCGTGCCAAACGCATGTATCCACCCGCTCCCGCTCCCGCTTCAGGTAGCAATCTCGAAACAGAGAGAGGGAGAGATCCAGCACTACGGAAGTAAAGTAGGTATCACGACGAACCAGTCAGCCAATATCACAAATATCCCGAGTGAAGCGTCAACAGTTCGTTCGTTCGTTCGTTCGTTCGTTTATTTTGTGTGTGTCCTATTCTAGTAGAGCACCAGCTCGGAACGGAAGATGCACAATCCCTCCCCTCACAACCCCGATTGGTTTCATCGAAAGATTTTGATTCTTTTTCTTCTTCTTCTTCTTCATCTTCTTCTTCATTGGACTCTCCGGCCGCACAACAGAGAAAAAAAAAGAAAAAAAGAAAAAAAGAAAAAAAGAAAAAAAGAAAAAAAGAATCAAAAGTAATTAGCCAAATCAATATGCCCATCCGTCTCCAACAACGGAAACAGATTGAGCGCTCCAAACGTCTGATCCGCATCCGAGTCCAGCGAGCCGCCCATGATAGAGAACTCGGGCGTGCGAGGAAGGGACTCGGTCATGCCGAGAAAAGTGGTTGCTGTTGATGTTGATTCGTGTCCGAAAAAGTCAAAGTGGTGATTCATGCTGTTGTTGCTGTTGAAGCGGCTGACGACGGGGGAGAAGGCGGTAGATGATGGTGTGTGTGCATGGGCATGGGCATGGGGATGGTGGGGATGATGATGATGATGGTGGTGGTGGAGGGAATTGTGATGATTGTGCGAGTTGTGGTGTGTTCCGATGTGATATGATGAAGGTTTAGGTGGTGGTTGTTGTTGTGTGTGAGTACTACCACCGCCGAATTGTCCTCCTACTGAGGGGTTGGTGTGCTGGATGCTTCGTTGATAGTGGGATTGTTGGTCGTATTGATGTTGATGGGAAGTGAGGGAGGTGTCTCTGAGATCTTCGTGGCCGTTGATGATGTTGTGGTTCTCATTTGTAGTGTTGTCCCCGGAGTTTCGACGAGGTATAAGACCAAATAGTTGAGAAGAGCTTTCCGTTCTTCGAAGTCGGTCTTGCATCTCCCTCTTTTCTAAATAGGCCAAGGCCGTGTTGAGCAGGGACTTGGCGATAAGTGAGTACTGCACGGCGTGAGCATCGGCTTCGGCAAAATACTCCAGCGCTGCGATGGAGGCACGGCAGTACTTTTCGATGATACGACCAAAGCCTCCCAGGAGGCCTAGGCCCAAAACAAGCGAAGAGGCAAAGAGCCATGACCTAGATGGGGGTTAAGATACATAAGAGCAAATGATACAAGGGAGCAAGGGCCGAAGAGGTTGGAGAAATCATACGGAAACTTACACAATCACGGGCGCCCGCCGAGCCATCAAACCTCTTTCAATCAGATCCTGGATAGGATCAACCATCAAACTAGCAGCATCAATGCAAGCATCCGCAAGTTTGGATTTGCCCGATGTCACCAGCCCATCTCTTGCTGTGAATGCTTCCGCCGGATACCCCTCGGCCAGCCTTCGCCTCAGTTCAACCATGAGGAACGGCCTCGACACCAGAATCACTGCATAATAATACGAGGCAAGCACCTGACAAGCTCCATTAACAGCCATTGCCTCCGACCCCGCTGCCGTCAGTAGCGGCGTCTGTCTCGGGCTTGGCCGTGGTCGCTCCTCATCAATCACCCGCTTCAGCCTTTGCAACCACCTAGCTGACCACTCCCTCAGCTCCCTCGAGATACCCTCCGTCAGCTGCGGCGAGATTTTTCGCCGCGAGTACACCTCCAACACGATTCCCTCAATGATCAAAAAGATCTGCGCCGACCCGTTCAGCAGATAGTCCCCACTGAAATCCGGATCCGTCTGCTCCCTCCCTTCGCCGTCCACGGCGTGGTATAGCACCGTGCAGTCAACGTCGCTGGTCGCGGGTGGTCGGCCCATGGACGTGCTAAGGAACAGGTCCACCACACGCAGGCTCTTCCACAGCCGGTCGCGCTGGCGGTGAATCTCGGGACTGAAGCGTGCATTAACCTCGGTGCGATGAATTCCGATGCTGAAGGCCGAGCGCGCGGCGATGCCAAAGAAGATGAACGCCCCGTTGATCTGGCACGCCCCTAGCATGTAGAGCGTGATGAGCAAGAAGGACTGCACCGAGGCTAGGCCGAGGTTGCCGCTTAGGTTGGCGAAGGCGAGGTCGCGGGCGTGATCGAAGTAGGCTTGGGCGATGCTTTCGGATTCGGGGATGGAGAATTCCGGCACTCCTGACGGCTCAGACCGGGGGGAAGAAGATGATATGTTGGTGATGGTCTTTTGGAAAAGCAGCCCAATGGCGAGGACGAGGTAGAAGACGGCCGAAGTGGCGTCTCCTCCGGGTGGTACGCCTCCAGTTCCTCCAGCTCCCATGAACGTCCCCTCCTCCTCCTCCTCGCTCGCCCCCATCCCCGTCCTTGATCGACCAAGTTGCACCGCCCAAGAAGTAATATCCTCAATCAACTGCCTCGGCTGCTGCGCCTGATCATCAAAGATATCAATGAGCCCGGCCGTGCTTTGAAAGTACGCCGTAACAGCCGATTCAATGATGGAGGTTTGGACGAGAGGAGGTCCACGCCCACCACCACTATATCCACCACCACCACCACTACGACCAATGCCACCATATCCACCATCACCACCAGGAAAAACACCAGCAGCAGCAGCACCAGATGCCCTAGGGTAATACGCAGCATTGTTGTTCTCCAAAGCCGAGTACCCGCTATTCTCAGGCGCAAAGGCATCGGGATCAATGCGCGACGTGATCAGCCTCTGGACGGTGCGGAAGAAGGAGAGCGGGGCGCAGTCGCCGATGAAGATGAGTTTCCCTTGAGGGTCGACGAGGAGACGGCCTTCGCGGGGGACTTCGGTTTCTTCATTGTGGGCTTCTGCCCCTGGACCAGGTTCTCGTGGTTGTTGTTGCTCTTGTTCTTCTTGCTGTCCTTCCTGTTGTTGTTGTTGAACAACATCGTGCTGGTTCTCTTGATGCTGCCGCCCCTGCCGTGACTGTGACTGTGACTGTGACTGTGACTGTGACTGCCCTACGTTGCCTACTACGCTGCCTCCAGTGACTGTCTCTGGCAGAGATCTCCGGCTTGGAATTTCCGACTCTTTTGCCACGACCGGTGACGTCTCTTTGCTGCTGCTGCTGTTGCTGCTTCTGCTCGAGGCCCGGGCTTGTGAAGTGGAGGCCGCTGGTGCTGGATGAACAGCATGACCCCCCCGAGATGAGCATGATGGCTGTGGTGATACCGTCGAATGCGCACCACCTCCTCCATCTGCTTCAGATGGCTCTTGATGTCCTTCCTGTCCTCCCTGTTCCCCCTCCTGTACTCCCGTCAACCTGCTCGCCCTCACCCTCGCCCTCCGTTGTCTCGGAGGCGAATAAAGGCACAACGAAGGATGTTTCCGGCTCACACAGTAACCGCATGGCGTGGCGCCGTTGCACTTGACTTTGCGGCGTTTGCAGACGTCACAGGCGTTGGCCACGCGCGGGCGCGGGGACGGTAGGAGGCCGTGTCCGTGGTCGGAGGAGACGGGGGAGGCAACTCGAGCTTCCATCGATCCAGGTCCCGATTCCCAGGGCCTCATCCCATTGATGTGTGGCTATGTTCAGCGCCTTTTGTGGTTGTGTTGGTGGTGGATTCCATCAAACTGGTTGGTTTCTAGAAGTGGAAATGGCGCCAAGAATGTGGAGTTAGTGCATGCTCTCCTCTTTGAGGGCTACTGAAGACAGGTTGCACTTGAACAACCATCATAACAACAACAACAACGACAACAACAACGACAACAACAGCACTTGTCTGATGTAATTCTCAGTATTTTTCTTTGTTCTCTACCACTGACAATTGTCTGTCTGTGCTTCTGTCTCTTTCTACCTATGAATGCAATTTGTTAATCCACAGTTGGAAAGGAGAGCAAATAGCTACCTGACCGAAGCTCATGGACCAAATAGGTACAATTCCATCCTTCTGCTTGGTATCTCCATCCATGATCAATATCCCTTCTTTCTCATCTCTCCTTCAAACAATTCCGTGTTGACTTTCCCACATCTCTTTGTGAACCCCTTTACCAAAGCCAGCAACAAAAGCAAATGACTTGAAAGCAACCAGGGTATCATGAACTCCAAAGGAAGCCCATACAAACTCCATGCATGCAGACATCCACGCATCCATCCAATCCTTTACAAAATTCCGACAAGCAAGAAGACAAATCGAAGCACCCAGAAAAACCAGATCCTCCCTGATTCAGCTTTGACCTGATGTCCTTCTTCAAAACATCTTGAACAAATCATCAGCATACTTGACGCACAACCGTCCCTTGATCTCCGCCGTCTTCGCATCCTTTGCGGCATTCAAATCCTCCGTGAAACCCTTCAGCAACTTATCCTGATTTTTGCGAGCCTCCGCGATGGCAGCAGTGCCGGCAACCTTAGCAGCACCAGTACCCGAAGCCGGCGTCTCACGATGATGGCTACTGACGGCCCTCTTCCCAAGCTTGGGAAGCGGAATCGGCGTGACGCTGTGAACAGATCCCCGAGGACCAACGGTCGTAGCGCGGACTGAGCGAGCCAGACCAATGGGCGAAGAATCAGGGCTGCCGTTGCTGTGGTGGCCATTGTGGTCGGCCTTAACCTGGGCTTCACCTCTGACCTTGAGGGTGCTGAGCTTGTTGACGTCCATCGAAATCCGTTTCAGGGCATTGAACAAAATGTCCTGGCGTATAGAGGCACGGAGCTCGTTGGCTTCAATGCGCTGCTCCAGGGCGGCGAGGTTCTGTTTGATGGTGAACAATTCACCTTGGAAGGTTTCGGATTGAAAGGAGAGATTGTTGTTGAACTTGACTACTTGCTTGGCAATGGCGAGCAGCGGATTGGTGGTCATGGTAGCGGCGACGTTGGAGGCGGTCATGGTCGCGGCGGTGTCCTCCTGCTCGGGCTCGATCTCTGGCTCCTGAGGCTTCGGTTCGGTGGAAACCCCCTCTTCCTTGCCGTCTTTCTTGGTCACTTGTGCTTCAGGTGCGGGCGAAGACTGGGTCGCAGCAACTGTATCGGCAACCTGGTCACCCTTCGTGGACTGCTCAGGGTGGGTGACATAGATGTTGGGAGCGACAACCTCGTCGATATCGATGATCTGGTGCTCCTCAACCTCGTCTTGGGTCTTCTTAGCCTTGCGGCCCTTCTTGCTCTTCTTCTTCTTGAGAGTAGAGGCGGGCTTATTGACGATCTCCGTAACTTCACGCTCAGCAATGAGCTCCTTCATATCTTTGGGTGCCGAAACAGTCTCAGGAGCACCGCGGTACTCAGCGTCGTTAAGCTGCATGAGTTGCAAGTCCACCTCGGCTTGCGTGGTCTCGCCAACCATCGTGGTATCGTCAACTGGTGTAGTTACATCGAGGTCCATGGCGTTCCCGTGCTCCTCCTCGACACTCTTCTTCTTGTCCTTCTTATGTTTGGTTTTCTTCGCCTTCTTAGAAGCGGAGACGGCGATGGACTCATCGTTGTCCAAGGCGTTGGATTCTTCAAAGCGCCGCTTCTTGTCTTTTTTGGACTTTTTGCTCTTTCTTGGAGCAGTCTCAGCGGCTGAATCTCCGTGCTGCTCATCCTCGATGATAGTGGTCATCTCAACATCTGACTCTTCACCATTAGCAACGCCATTTTTGCCAACCGCAGGGCTGACGACGACATGCTCTTCCGCGTGGGGCATCTCGGTATCTCCGTGCTCGTTGTCGCTGTCGTTCTTTGCCATCACGCGGTCCAGAATCTCATCAACGTCAGCCGGAGTGAGCGGATCGACTTCTGTTCCAACTTCAGCCCTGAATGGAGTGCCGAGTTTGGGAGCAGCCGGAAAACCCTTGATTTTCGGCAACGGAACCGGAGTGCATTTGTTCGATTTGGAGGGCGAAAAGTTGTTCGGCGAATAGTCGTACTGCATCATCCTGGGCATCGGTCCGGGAGTCTTGGAGTTGAGAGGCGAAGTAGGCGGGAAGTTCTGGTCCAGAGTGTAGTTCGGGACGGGAGTCAACTTTTGGAGCTTGTGAGGCGACCTAGCTTGCGAAGTGATATTCTTCTCATCTCTAGCATTGATGTTGTTGACCAGTGTCATCAGGGCAGCAGGATTCCCGACCTGAAGCTGGGAGCTTGGAGAGGGTGAAGCGGACCTCTTCGCATGCTCATAGAGAGGGTTTCGCGGAAGTGGGATGTGACTGTCTGAACGAAGTGGGACGTTTTCCTTGGTCAATCCGGACTTTGCGGGGACCGGCGACTGCAAAGGAGTCGAATAATGCTCGTCTGCGACAGAGCCATCAGGTGCGACGGCCTCTTGGAAGACAATGGCCATGGGGAAAGTCGGGCTTACAGGCTCCTGCTTGATCTTGACCATGTCTTCCTCTTGAGCATCAATCTCTTCGACGGTGACGACGGTCTCATCCCTTGCGGAAGTGGCTGGGCTCTCAGCGCGAGCCTTAGCCTTCTTCTTACCTTTACTCTTCTTCTTTTTCTTCTCAGAAACGTTGACGCTCTGGCTCGGCTTGCTGTCAGGTGTCGACATCTTGCCCTCAGGCGATTTGGCGACCTGCTTCTTCTTTTTCTTCGTCACAGCACCTGTGAGCCAGTCAGGCGCGTAAGGGGCCATGATGTGAATCAAGAGCGAGGTCAGCTTGAGGGAGTGACGATTGGGTGAATGTTGGGGGATGGAGAGATGCGCCTGGTTCGTGCTTCTCAGGGCTCTGATGGAAGAGTTAAAGAAGGCTTCGTGGGCAAAAGGCCAAGAAGATAATTGGCGAGAGAGAAGTTGTCTTGATGTAATCGTCAAGGCGGTGTTGCTGGTGGAAGGTTGATGTTTTGGATAACCCGTGTGGAAGTAGAGTAGTGACGGGGGGAGATGGAGGATGGAAGGAGTGAGAGCGGGAAGGAGGGGGGAAGGTGGAAGGTACTGCGTCTCCCAGTGCCGACCAACTTGGTGTCTGCCTGCCGGTTTGTGGACGATTCACCAGCAGGTGCTCTTCCACTTGAAAGGTTGTCAGTCACCCCGAGTTCAGATCGAAATTACCGTGGTTGCCGGGTAACGATGGTAAGTATTCTGGGTAGGTACCTACCTCTAGGCATTGAAGCAGGCCACTTGACAAGAGATGATAATCAGCCTCTTCTTGGTCACTCTTCGTCATCATGATAGCTGCCAGAGGTCGGTCGTAGAACGTGACTGGTTGATTACTAGGTATTTACACAAGATGAACAAGCTGTTGCTGATGTTTTCCCTTTCAATATTTACGGAAAATGGAGTCCGAAATATCGAAGAACATCCGAGTACATACAGGCCGCGCCCACATAACCACGTCGACATTTCAAAGTTGAGATCCTAAGGCACGTTCTCTCCTCGTGTGTAGGTTTCGATATTCCCGCTACGGTTGTTTCAAGTTTGGGTTCTTTGGGTTCTGGTCATCATTTACTTGCTTCAGCATGCACATTTCTCAAGATCATGATCAATTGAACAAGTATAATGTCTGAATTCTGTATAAGCCAAACCTAGCCCAACCCGCTACCGAAAACGCCTGCAATGATGATAACTACAAATGGTATATGTAAACTGCCGGCTTGATCTCGGATACAACGCCCATTGTGACCGCTCAGCCACCTTTTGCAAAAAAAATAGATAAATGCTTGGCATGTTTGTACGTTTTCTCCTGCTTAGTTCTGACTTCTCACCTCGCCTATTCCAGTCGCCAAAAAGAAGTACGTTCCCAGGATAGAGCACACCACAAAGGCAGTAAGCACTCCTGCGCCCGCCTTGTCTCTCTCGGTAAGCTCCGACATCGACATGACCGTCGCGGGCGTCTCTCCCGCATTGGGGTTGCCGCGACTCTGACCACCGGTGTTGTTGGTAACCAGAGGCTTGACGGCTTCGTGCTCCTCCGTGATCAGATACGTCGTGAAGGCGGCAAGGGCGCTCATCTCCTGACCGGCGGGGCCGTTGCTCACGTCGCCGTCGTACTTTCCGACATTCCAACGGTAGCCGCATGTGCCGTCAGGCAGGCAGCTGTCGATAACACCCTCGATGTTGGTCTTGAAGGCCTTGACTATAGGCTCTCGAACGAGATCAGGCGCCATGAGGGCGGCCGTGGCCAAGGAGCGAAGGAGGTAGCCCTTGAAGGAATGCTGGTCGATGTTGCAGAGGAGCCTGTCCGTGAGCTCGCAGGCGCGTTCAACCAAGATGCCCTTGGGGAAAAAGAACTCGAGGGTTCGGTTGACGAGTCCACTAAGGGGCTTTCCCCACTGTTCAGCATCTTCGGTCTGTGGTGTTGAGGCTATGTTAGCTATCAAAGTCCTGGGTATTCGGTCATTGGCAAAAAAAAAAAAAAAAAAAAAAAAAAAAAAAAAAAAAAAAAAAAAAAAAAGCTTACCATATTGTACATGATGGCGACACCATGGATGATGATGGCTGCGTTAGCTGACCATTGGACCTTGTTGATGTCTGTGCAGTTTTGAGGGACATGACCACCGTCGTAGATGTTCCAGTTCTTATCGATGTAACCGACGTCCCTGATCCAGTTGAAAGTCTTTTCGGCCCACTTGGAATAGGTGCTGTTGTCGGTATAGCGTGCCAGTCTTGCGCCGAGGTTGAAGAAACAGGCATTGGCGATGGTATTCTGAGCCATGTTAGTCACATGTAGCAGCTCAAAGTGATGCCCGTGGCTAACCTAAACTTACCTTGTAATCATATCCAGCATTGGAGGGGTAGATCTGCCAGCGCAAACCTCCGCCGCATTCGTCGTCATGGCGGTCGGGGGCAGCTTGCGTGTTGAAGACGGCCTGGGCCATCTCAAGCCAATCAGCCTCGCCGGGGACCAAAGGGAAGTTGACTTCGGCAGCGAGCATGGCAGACATTCCCCAGAAGCCCTGGTCATCGTTACCGAGAGAGGCAGTCCAATTGGGTGACATGAAGCTGTTCTGAGGCGCATCGGCTTGGAAGACGATAGATTGCTGGGTTACGGCATTGTATGTGCTGTCGCCAGTGTAATGCCAGTAGTCGATGAAGGTCCCCCACATGGCACCAGCCTCCCACCAGTAGTATGATCCATCGGGCGGGGGACCAGGAAGAATACCGATGGTTTGCCCAGGTTGGTTGCCAGTATAGTATGATATCAGATGCTTTGCGATGGTCTTTGCGGCGGATTTCACGGATGCTGTTCTCCGGGATTAGCTACCTGTCATCTGGTGAAGAAAACTGGGTTGGTACTGACCAGTCTTGTTCAGGTCAACCTCGAATGTTGACTGTCCTGTAGTTGTTGTGGTTGTTGTTGTAGTAGTAGTTGTTGATTCTGTTGTTGCGCCGTATACACTGCTTGCGGCAGCGAGCAGCAACGGTGCTACGCCAGAAATCCTGGTGGTAAAAAGCATGGCGAGTTTGAGACTTGATCCTATTCCAATTCCATCCACGCGTTTGTTTGCACGACCAATGATATGACGTTTTCAAATCGATATTATTGTATGAATGTTTGCGAAGGTACGTAAGGTAGATGCCGATTTACAGAAACAAATGCATGGGGAAGCTGATTTGGTGAGCGAGGGACAAGCGTTGGGAAAGCCAGAAAGAAAGGCAAAGGGGTCCCAGATTGGCGTTGGTCGGGATCGATGGAACTCCCTGTAGCCTTGTATGGGTTGTGACCTCCACTCTGTAATTTGAGATGGTCGTGGTCCGGGGCGGCGGCGGCGATGATGGCGGCGATGATGGCGACCAACGAGCAGTTTGACGGCTGAAGAGGAAAAATAAAACAACAACAACAACAACCACCCCGTCTCCTCCTCAGCCTTTCCTCCTCGCTCCTCATGAAGGTTCCCGTCAAGTGACGCCCCCCCCCCAGTTCGTTCTCCCCGGGCTGACCTGACGTAAGGAAAAACCGTGTTGCCTGGATCTGGAGTGCATCGTCAAAGGGGGCCGAAAGGGGCGCTCATGCTGGGCAGGGATTGGCTGGGATGCTGGTTTGCGAGAGAAAGGGGAACGAATTGGGCGAACATTATATGCTCCACTTATAAAAGCGTCCAATAAGAGGGACAGCCGTTCCAAGCCAGCGCCTGGGGTATGTAGTATGGGAAGGATCGGACGGATGCAATGCGCGCCCTAGTGTACCTACCTACTGCAATGTCCTGGGCAAGTGCAATTAATCCCTTCCCTTGATGTCCCTTTTCGGCCATGGGATCCATCCAAGCCTTTTTTTTTTTTTCCCGACTCATTCACTGCAGGCGGGCTGTCAGGTCACTGTGTTCCTGAGTTTTGTGCATCAGGTCACTGCACGAAACGAAGATTTGAAAAAGTGTGACAGCAATTGAAACAATCGAATACATGGCAATGCAAACAAGGCTCTATGGTACTGCCCATCACGATGATCAAATTCCACTTATTCGGTTCCTGTTTCCTGTTTGTTTCTTCCACTTCTTTTGTTGATCTCTCTTCGTTCGTTGCCGCTGATGGTTGCCTATTGACGGCGCCTTCACCCCTTTCAGACCCTTTTCCTCTCTCCCCTCCCCCTCAGCGGGAGCCTCGGCCAGGTGCTTGTCTCCAAAGGAAGTCAGGTTGTGTTCATCGGCCCATGTGAGACCCTGTTCCTGCTGAGTGGGAAATGGGAAATGGAAAATGTCCGAAACCCCCTCCCCCCACTTCAGACTCCGCCTCAACGTGCGCGACATCGACCAGGCGGGATTATGGTCAACTAACCCTGAAACTTACTAGCGTCTTCGTATTTTTGACCTTACAGGACCCACTTCTGCTGCTACTCCCGCATTTCTCTCCCTTTTGCCAAGTGAGGCTCTCGTCAACATTAGCTTCCAACAACATCTTTCCACGATTCTAGAACATCGTGAAACTTCAAGTGGACGTGGTAACTGAATTGGTGGCTAGTATTGACGGGCGATACAAGGCGAGGACCATCAATGTCTCTTCATGGTCCGTACTTGTAGTCGCCATGACAGCTATGAACAAGAGTCTGGACGATACATTGAGGGACATAGCCATGTGTATCATCATCTGATCACAGAGACATGGGCGTATTCTAGAGTTAACGGTAATGGACTGAAAATCGCCAGTGCTATCCGCGCCGTATGTATATTGAGCATAACAACCTAGTCGTTGATGAGTTTCATCTTCTTACATACAAGTACGGCTCGATAACCTTTGTACACGACACAAGTTGGTGAACGAGGACCGGATGAACACTCCTCCCGGACATGATTCTTTGCGAGAGAATTTTGGAAGGTAAAAGAATATATGAATATGTAAAAGTGAGGAAGCCATATCACCCAGTATACCCATTCTCTGTCCGTCATCGACAGACTAATGTTGTCGAGTGTCATGCTCATTTCCACGAGATGATTCAGGGATTCGAGTATACCCCTAACCCTGACAAGTGGACTCTGGGGTCGCTACAGAGCCAAGGGAAGTGAAAGGAAGACCCTTATCTTGTCGACCACTGCATGCGATAAGCAGTTCACCCCACCATGACAGCCCACACCGAGGTGAGTTGCATGGTCTGTGCATAACACCTTTGGCTTCCCGTTGCCGGCCGGCGCGCGCGCGTCAGTTTCCAATTCCATCATTGTCCCGAACCACGCCGACTTGTCCGATTTTACTTTCTGCAACCTTAACTTCAAGTCCAGAACCACTCCGGTGCCGATCCCTTTGCTGCGCGACATCCGTATCCTTGCTCTGAGAGACAGGGCGCACCCAACCATCAACGACTTCCATATCTTGCCTCGATTCGACCGTTGCCGAAATACCTACTAGAAACCGTCATCCGAGTCAAGATACAACAAAACATACAAAGGAAACAGTCGGGATGGCGCAAGCTGGCAGCGAAAACAAGGAGCCATGGAACGAGGAGACCAGGGCCAAGTTTGAAGGGTATGTGCTGGTCGCTCTACCACACGGCATGACCGCGGACTGTCTCAGAGAGAAGAAGAAGAGAGGATAGAATGGCTGACCGCGAAGTTGGATACGTACAGAAAGAGCCGAAGCGAATACCTTGATCCGTGCCAGGAGGCCGCTCAGCGGAGTATACGGTGTCTGCACCGCAACCAAGGAGACCGAACCATGTGCTCGGACTACTTTGAGGCGTACAGGGAATGCAAGAAGCAATGGGTTAGTACTTCTCCGCTGCGGGATTGAGAGGTGAAAAAGTACAAGATCTCGATGCTGACGGGTTGACGACTGGGGATACAGATCGAAAGGAGGCGGGAACAGAAGAGGAAAGCGGGTGCGCTCTTCTGAGCTACCGGACTTTTCAATGGAAGGATATAATCTGAGCAACCACGGCTACAAGGAAGAAAAAGAAATCTGAGCAACAGGAGGAAGATCAACGTGGGCAACATTGCTTTTTGCGCTTGTATAAATAGTCTTTGTAAAGCACTTGCATGGGTAGGCGTTTAGGTTACGGAAGACGCGGAGTACCTGTTTGATCGTTCATCAAACGAGGACAGGGAGGGAATAGAGAAAAAAAATGGGTGATATGGTGACCGTAGAAAGGGGGCAAAAGAAATGGTCAAGTAAAACATCAACTAAGCAAGCCGAAGTGAAGATGGTCAAGTAGTGTATATATGATATAAACCTATCTGTATATATTGACGGTGAGGCCCGAGCCACTCAGCTCGGTCACGGCGGGGTCCCCGGTCTCGATCGATCACTGTACATCAGGTACTTCTACTTGTAAAGTACACAGGAGGGTACAGTAGGTAGGCACCACGCCCGCTCTGTCGCACGAGCCACTCACATTCAAGGCAACGCCAAGCTCAACCTTTAAAACCTTCTGAATCGACAAACTCACCAAGTCAACAACAAAAGTGCAGTGCAACCCGGTCGAATCTGTGGCCTACGGTAGCATTCTTTTTATGATCCTTCTTTCCAATCTCCTTTCTCTCTTTGACCAACAATTTTTTTATCCAACGCCGAGATCAGGCAAGCAAGCACCCTGAGCAAACATCAACAATGTCTTATGGACGATATGGGCGCCCAGCCCTCAAAAACAGCGTCGACGTCCAGTTACAGACCGCCTTCACTGACAGCAACTGGAACACCGTCATTCGTTTGGCCGACAAGCGCTTCAAAACTCTCAAGGACCCTTACTACGAGGTAGACTCTTCATGAACTGCCTCTCACTACTCATCAGCCCAGTCACTCACCACTTCTCATCAGGCTATCAGAATCGCCGCCGAGTCACAGCTCGATGGCACCAGTGAAAGGTGTACGGCACTGATCGCCATCGACGAGCTCGTCAAGTCCAAGGCTGTTCCCGACTATGACACTCTTGAACTGCTGGAGTGGGCTGCGCGAGACTATCTCTACGACACCGAGTATGCCGAGACGCTGGGTCCCCTCAGAGCCCGCTGGGTGAAAGCGAACCCTAAGAGCAAGTTTGCCGTGAAATGTCTTCAGTCATGCCTGGAGTATTGGGATCTCGTGAGCGCTCAGCAGATTGCCACGACGCTGGACAAGGCCTTTGCCAACTCGGGAGACCGCCAATACATGTTCTGGAGCATTACTCTCACCTACCTTCTTTCAGTGAGTCTTCGCTATGCTATGCCCTGAGGGACCAGTACCCACAGCTGACATGTCCAGGTTAGCCCCCAGTGCAGTGAGGCCAGCAAAAAGGTATATAGCCTTCTTGTGGTTAAGCAGCTTGAGAGGGCGGCTGATATCACTGAAAACGTATGTTGCGCCCAGAGCTCCTGCATCATTCACACTTTGTCAGCCAGAAAGTGCCTAACCCCAGCTTTAGGCCGAGAAAGTCGAGTCGAAAGATCGAGGCCTGCTTCAAGAAGAGGAGATCTCTCTTTACTACCGTGTCATGCTCTCTCATGGCTCCAAAGAAGACTTCATCAGCCGCATGCAGAGCCCCAAACTGGGACCTCTTGCCCAGCTCAAGGAGGGCCGCAAGGACTTGTTCTACCAAGCCCTCAATGCCTATGAGTCGTGGGGCGAATGGGACCGCATCTATGACCTTTGCCGTCAGGCTCTCAGACTGGGCCTTGATGGTGTGACACCGACCTTTTCCGTCTGCGACTACAAGGTGTGGAAGAAGTTCGCCTTGGCTGCCAGCAAGTCCAAGGATCAGGAGACTGCCCTGGGCGAGGTGCAAAGCATCCTCAAAGAGTTCATTGCGCTCAAGACCAACACCGCCATGTACAAGAAGAACATTGCTCTCGCCCTCCTCGACACCGCATTCCGCCAGCCTGAGGTACCAGGAAGCTCTGGTAACGACTCGGGCGTGACCCCGAGAGTTATTCAAATCGGCCTATATTTGGACAGCTACTTTGACAAATTGTCCGCGTTTGACGATGTCAAGGACTTTGTCGCAGAGCTCAGCTTCGAGGAGGTCAAGGGACTCATGGAGGAAGTCCTGCCCAAGATGCTGGAAGAGGTGAGTGCCCTTTTTGTATCATTTGACATGGCAACGTAACACTAACCTTTTTCATAGAAGTCTGAGAAGTCTAGTCAGGTTATTCTCAAGTCACTAATCTGCAAGCTGCGCTACCTGCTCACCACTTGCACACAAACACTCTCCCATAACCCATCCGTGGTGGACGGCCAAGAGCAGGACAAGCCATACCAATGCCGTCTGTGCTCCACCCTTACGTCTCTACCATGCGAGAGCTGCTTGAGGAGCGTGGTGACCGAGGCCGCCCAAATATACCAGCAGATAGTCGATGACTCGGAGCTGTTGGCAGCAATCCCCCGTCTCGACAAGGATCCTCGTATTGACTTGGCCCTTGTCATGGGCAACTCGATCCTCAAGCTCTCTGGCTTGCACCCTCGCACTTCGGATGTTGCTCCAGCACCGCTGCGGGATGTGAACCCATCGCTGTTCCTCCAGGCGGTTCTCGTCTTGGACACCCAGCTCAAGGTTACGCCTAGTGATGTCGCACTGCGCCTCCTACTGGCCCAACTCTACCTCCTCCTGGGATGCGCTTCCTACGCCTACCAGATTTGGACCCCTCTGGAAGTTAAGCGCACAATCCAGGACTCCCTCAGCCCTCTCTTCTTTGACAGGATATCAAGTTTGTCGCCAGGTCTGTTTACCGGCACCCGCCCATTGATGGAGCCGCTGCGTTCATACTACAACAACAGTCTGCACAGCAGCTGCCCCTTGCGGATTTGGGACGCGTTTAGCTCTGGGAGCTACAGCAGTATCCTGGAGATGACCGAGTTCGACAGCAAGCTGCGGAGAAGCTGCACGCTCATGATGTCCATTGTGGAAGAACGACGGGCAACTCGTGCTTTTGGCGGAAAGATCGAATGTGAGATTGGCGATTTGGCACTCACTGGTACGTTTGATCTTGATTCAATCTCCTTCCCCTAAGCAAAACTAACTTGATTCCCAGAAAACATCGACGACACAACTACCCTACTCAACAAAACCGACTACGGTTCATTCGTCAACCTCGAAAGTCCCCACGGTCCTCCCATCCAGGAGTTCCTTCGTATCGGCCCCGAGCTTTCCGTAAGACTTTTTCTCCAAACCCTCTCACCTGCGCTGCTCTTCCCGAATGCTAACAACCTCCCGCCAGAACGAGCGCGCTCACCTCTCCTTCCTCTCCGAGCAATACCTCGATCTAATCCACCACAAACCGCCCAAGGACCACCGCCCTTACAAGCCCAGCGAAGCGGCCATCAAAGAGCGCGCCTACACCTTCGAGACGCTCTCCCAACTCAACAACTCGCTCACCAGCTTCATCCACCGTCCCACCACCCCCGCCGCGCTCACCTCGCCCGAAGCAACCTACTACACCATCATCTCCCTCCTCTCCGCAGCCGTGCTCACCGCCCTCTCCACCACGCGCGCCGACCCTTACCCGTCTGAGACCATGAGCGTCATCACCTCGTCCATCCGCACCGCTTTCACGGGGCTACGCACCCGCTTCACTTCCTCCTCTTCCTCTTCCTCCTCTTCTACCAACAGCACCAACGGAGTAGACGAAACCTTCTACTCCCTAACCGACATGCACACCCTCTCGCACGTGCGCGAAACTGCCCTGGCCATGCGTCACAGCGCCGCCTTTGTCCAGGCCTGGAACGACCGCGAACTGGCCCGCGATCGCTCCGGTAAGAGCACGCTGCACAAGGACGGGTTGGCGGAACTCAAGGCGTTGGATGCCATGGCGGCCAAGACCATCACGGAGGTGAAGGGACATATACAGAAGCTGAAGGAGCAGCTGGGCGGGGGAGGGTGGTTGGATAAGATGCTGGATTGGACTTTTGGTGCTGCTGAAGGTACTACTGAAGGGGAAGCTGGTGAGACTGCAAAAGTAAGGAAGGCGGTGGAGAGTGTGGTGGGTGGAAGAGAGGGCGCGGAGGAGTGGGTTGGGAAGGTGGTGGAGAGTTGGGGGCAGGGGGTGAAGGGGTGGGGGTTGGTGAGGATGGAGTGAATGGGTTTGGTATAGTTTAGGTAGGGAGGGGTGTGGTAGGAGGATGATAGATAGGTATGTATATATTGGTAGATTTCTTGGTAGAGAAAAGTATGGTTTAAGAAGTGCACAATTGAAGAGATGGGAATCGTTTGTTACCTGGGAACTTGAAAGGTAGGAGGGAGGGAGGGGCTCACCCACCTAGGGAATGGAATGAATTGTTTAGACGCATTTTGCCTCGAGCTTTTGTTTTTTCACCTTGCTCATCCAAAACATGCAAAGCCGAGAATCAATGCAACTACCTAGGTACTCGCGCACCCAGTAAAGATATGGATTGACTAGGAGGTACTTGACCCCTTTTTATTCAAACGAATACCTATAATGATAATATAACTACAAGATATAACGATGTTTCAGGCCACTAGGTCAAGTCTTTCTTTCTTGGACTTTTACCCATCACATGTCACTTAGTTAGCACATCACTACTCACTCTCCGAATTTCCAGTCGGATGAATACAGTCTAAGAATTTCAACCTGCATCAAAGCGATTTCCACTAAGTACCTAGAAGTAGCTCCAGTTCAATTTCCGATGAAGTTTCAAGCCAAAACAGAAATTAGCGTTACGCTCTGGTCTTCCAGATCTCAGAAACATAAAAGCCCAACAAACATGGCCAAACCCAAGTCCAATCCCAAGCCTAGACCTAGTTCAGTCTATTGATACCATCCTTTCAACGTTAGTATATTAGTATAAAACTAGATCAAACATCAATCATCGCCGTGCCACTTCACGATGAAAAATGTTTCTACGACCAAACTAAACCAAACCAAAATCCTTATCGAATTTTTTTTACATTTCAATTTATCCTTCAAAAACCTCACAGAGTGAATAGTGCAGAAGACCATTCTTTCAAAACAATACCAAAAAAAACAAAGCCAAATATCCGCCAATTTCCTTCCTTTCCTTTCCTTCCTTTCCTTCATACATCATACATGTGATATGAACAACCCGCCTAGAGGTAGTTCCGTCATTCCAGGTATCCTGAACCATGAATAAAAATCCACCCCCCCCAGTCATATAAGGTTGGGCAGCCAGACGAATGGAATGGTACATTCATGTTGGTTTCGTAAACCAGTCAGTCCCAATCCATGCTCGTCCCCTCCCTTCCTTGATCATTTGCTTGTCGTTTGATAGACGGTCGTCCGTCTATATACCTTTATCCTCTCGTCTCTTCTTCATGTTCATCCCATCCATTCATCCATTCATCCTTCCATAATCCCATCCATTCCATGGATCCCATTCGATCGTCCTTTCTTTCGTCTCGGGTCGTTTTATGTCCGTTAGGTTGATTGCTGTTGTTGTTGTTGTGTTGTTGTATGGTGTTTATGTGTGGTTGAGCGTGTGTGTAAGCTGCAGTGGTGGTGGGTGGTTGTAGGTATCGTCGTAAGCGAAAGCAAGAAATCAAGAAAAAAAAAAAAAAAACATAAACGTAGAACAAGAAAAAACAAGAGAAAATCTCTATCAGCGCCTTTGCCCAGCCTCCCATATAGTGCGATGAGAAGAACGAAAAAAGAAAATGCGCATCCCCCCTTTTGTCCAACAACAAACCCCCTTCAAACCCTATAATCTACCGGGCCTTAGGCCATGAGCTCGCTCAAGACTCTCATACTCAATATCATAACCAGCAAACCAATCGTGACAATGATCAACAGCGTGAAGCTGAACCAGCCCAACACCATGGCCGAGCTGCCCACGCCGGCCATGACGCTCCCGTTGCCAAAGTCCTGAGCGATGACGGATGCCGCCACCGACGCCGTATGCTGCCACAGCACCGAGACCAAGACAAAAATGGTCGCGATGAAGATGATGACGAGGGCGACCTGGCTGACGGGCCGCGAAGGGAAAGGTTTGACCTCGCGCTCGGAACCCTCCGAGTCTTCCTCTTCGTGCCAGCCGGGGAAGGTGGCGAGGAGGAGGAGGCAAACGAAGGCGAAGATGATTGCGATGATGCTGTGTTTTTGTATCCCTTGTTAGCATGTCTGCTCGTGTCGCGACAAAAGCACAGTCGAAATTTGGTTCTTACATCAAGTATGGAAAGACAATCATATCCTTGAACTGCGCAGCCAACCAGACTAGATTCAAAGGATCCTGATCAACCGAGATCTCGTTCGCTAGCGTTGTCGCATTGTTGCTGCACAACCACGACCCGCCATCGGGATTAACGCAGATGCCAAAGAAGCCAACGCGCGCCTGGAGACGGGCGCCGTCCACAATGTTGGCGATGGCGGTGGTGACGTCGTAGTGCACCTGCGAGGTGTCGGGGATGGCTTGGTAGTTTTCGTAGTAGAGCGACAACAAAAAGATATCAGGGATGACGGGTGATGAGGACGAGCAGCCTGCTAGGAGAAGGGCTGTGTACGGTGTGTTAGTTTTGATTTTCTATTTAGGAAAACAGACGGGATTTTCCTTACATAGTAGAATAATCGTGATCATAATGAGAATCATCAAGACGTGGTGATATCCCAGGAACGGTAGCCACCCTGGAGTTCATCATCATAGTGTTAGCTCATTCCGTTGCCTACAACATGTCTGAGGAAGGGGAATATGGAAGAGAGGAAGACATACGGTACCACCCTAATTGGAACCCGCTAGCCATCTTGTTGTATGTATGTTGATTCCTTGTTTAGCTTTTTTTTTATCCCGAATCCCTTCTTCCCTTTCGTTAGTATAGATACCGCGCCTGGTACCCACACCCGCCCTCCGCGAGGTTTGCGCCAGAGGGACGGTTGGGGACGTTTTGCGCTATGGCCGAGAGTAACAAGATTGCCCTCAAGGCTAATACGTCGTTTGGATTCTTTTCGAATTCGTCGTTGTCAACTTGGAGAAGGGTCGCGCCGTAAAACGATGTCTCGCTTGCTGGAATGGAAGGCGGTCTACCTCACTTGCTGGGTGAGGTACAAGTCGTAGGTAGTTGGTCGGATGGGGTCCTTGGAATGCGCGAAGCAGTCCAGAAGTCTTCGTTTTTCCCCACGTGTTTCCTTGTCTTGAATTGTTGGTATCCGTTTCGTCTCGTCTCTTGGTGTGCTTGTTTGGGCGCGTAGGTAGCTGAGGAATGCGGGAATGCGCAACAAGTTGAGCAGGTGTATGTGTGAGAATGTAGGTAGGTATGGATTGGCAGGCACCGCAGTGGGTTGGTTGGTGGAGGGGACGCAGAAGACTGTGTGTTCAGGTTCCTGCCAGATGCAAAAGCAAGAAAGCAGGCGGACTGGACCTAAACAGAAACAGGCAAGGGGCCAGGCACAAGGTTCGACCTTTCGTCCCTTTGGATTCTGTCCCTTGTTTTTTTTCCCTTGTCTCACTAGGTAGGTGAATCAATGCTGCAGGATGAATCTGCAAGGCACCACGACCGGACCTGAATCCAAGGGTTTATTTTTTTTTTCTCACTCCCCGTGCTGCTTGGAAGGAACCAAGCTAAGTAGGGTAGAGGTATGGGATCCCCGCTTCGGTGAAGGTCAGGTACACGGCAGCTTGAAAGGTATGTAGCCCGGGCTGTAGCTGCTAGTATGGCACAAACGGTGGAGGTCAGAAAGACAGGCTGGTGGTGGTAGAAGGCCAAAAGGATGCACGATCGAGAAAAGAGGGATCGTGTATTGGGTGACGTACAGTTGGTTTCCCGTTGGCTTGGAAAAGACTTTAGGACCGTGAATGAGGGCACCTCAGGAACGAAGGGTTGAGAACAAGCCGGCGTGAGACAAGAGACCTGTGCAAGAGTGCAGCTCAGTGGGACCGGCGACCTGCCTCTCAACAGGCAGCGCGCTCGCGTTCGTTGCGGAAAAGCGGTGGCTGGTTTCCGGGCAACAGTTGGAAGTCTTCACAGTTTACACTCGCTATTTCTCACTGCAAACTAAACCTACCTTCCAAAAACTAAACAGCCCACCAGCCCACTTGGCCAGGGCAGTGACATTAGGTCGCTACCATACACTACCTATTTTGGGATTCTCGTTTGCAAGTGGACAAAGTGCTGAAGCCATTCGATTCCCTGCTTTTTCACTTGGCCGGTCGGTCGGTCGGTACCTGCTTGTATCGAGCCCGTACCGTATTGCTTGCGACGTCAGGCACGTCGAGATACGTACCATGATGACTGGCTGGGAGCGGCCTCACACACTTGGACAAGTGGAAGGGTCTCCGTCAGTCTTCCCCAACCTCCCGGTTTTATTTACTTGGAGCTTGGGCAGAGCCCGTTGTCCGGACAGTGGCAGTGATGATGACCAAGGATTGGATGCGACGAGGGACCAAGCTCCATTTTCTTGGCAGGGCAATCGCTGTGTTGAGTTTGGCGCCGTTTCGTCTGAACTCTGAACTCCACTCAGCAAGGCGGCTACATAAAGAGAGAGGACCACAGACCGGAGGCGCACGGTCCATCTTCAAAAAGGCACTCACTGACTGCACACAGGCAGCTTACACCTACCAACTGAAGTAAAGATGTCTCATCTTTTCTACTCCAAGTCTTCCCCGAGGCTGGGATGGGCTGGCCTCCCTCGCTCCATCCGATCTTTCAGCTCACCCTCCAGCTGGGAATTGAGAATTTCCAACTCCCGAAAGAGCTGATCGGAAAAAGAAAAACTTGTAGGAGACAGTATACCGGAAGGCTGGGAATTCAATGCAACGAATGGAGCATGGCCCAAGCTTTTGTCCAAGCTTCGCCCGACCGCGCGGAGATCATCAAAGCCCCGTCCGTACCTGACACGTGCCGCCGAGGGCAATTTGCCGATCATGGCTTTTGTGTGACCTTGATGAAGGACGCCGACATCATCTGTCAATGTATTTATTTTGACTGTAGGTAGTGTAGGTAAGTTACAACACACCGAAACGCCACGATGTCATTCCCCGGATTTCTTTCGGCTGGGACGCCCCCGCTTTTAGAAGCAGATAGGATTTTGCCCAAACTCTCTTTAAGGCTAAGTTGAGGGTGTGTGGTACATGAAGACGATATCATGAGAGACAATGTGTTGTTCATTTATTCAAGATGGTCTCATAACTTGTGGAATCCCATCGACTGGAGAGATTGCTTGGGACGAAGGCATTCCAAGCCGAGGTCGATTTATAAGCAGCCCCTTGTATTTCTCGCCTCTTTACAACCCCTCCAGCTTCCAAATTTCGGGAAGGGTGAGGGGGTAGCACGACATGTTCTTTGAGTAGTATATCATAACCTCGAGGCCCACGAGTTGAAATAATCGCCAACAATAATCCTCCGACTTCAACATCGAGCCTCTGTAATACGACAACTCGCTCTCCCAGCCAACAACATGACACACTTTCAGATCAAAGTAGTCTCCGACATCATCTGCCCTTGGGTATGGCTGGCTACCTTGGCTTCATCGTCCATCAAACGTGCATCACTTACACTAAAACAAATTTCCAGTGCTACGTCGGTAAAGCCCGTCTCGAGCGCGCCATCAAGCTCTACAAGGACGTCATCCCAGGCGGCGCAAACGACACCTTCACCGTGACCTGGCACCCCTTCTACCTCGATCCTTCGCTGCCCAAAACGGGCGGTATCGACCCCAAGGCCTATCTCGGCAAGAAGTTGGGCAGCCCCGAACGCCTCGCCATGGTCCACGCGCGCCTCAAGGCTATTGGCGAAGGCGAAGGCATCAAGTTTTCGTTGAACGGCAGGATCGGCAACACCCGCAATGCGCATCGGTTGATTCAGCTGGCGAAAACCAAGTCCAACGAGATTGAGAACAAGACTGCTGCGGCCCTGTTTCAGTTGCACCATGAAGAAGATGGCCATGTGTCGTCGAATGACATGCTGATTGCTGCTGGCAAGCGCGCGGGCTTGGATGGAGCGGAAGTCGAGAGCTGGCTGGCCAGTGATAGAGGTGGCGAGGAGGTCGATCGTGAGGTTGCAGAGGCGCAAAGGAAGGGAATCCATGGAGTTCCCAACTTTACCATCAACGGACGGTCAGAACTCAGCGGGGCGCAGGATCCCGAGACATTTGTCCAAGAATTCCTGCGTGTCAAGGCTGCTACTTCGGATGTTAGCGAAAGACCATCTGATGGGCCGAGTTGTTGAGAATTTAGTGGCTGGTCAAGACAAACCCTGGGTAATGATATATGACAGCCGAAAATTTGGTATCGCAAAGTCTTCTTTTCGTCGTAGTTCGAATAACCTTGGTAGCTTTTTGCGTGTATCGGACACTCTTGAACAGATACTGCGCTCAAAACTCCATCAATCCATTGAGATCGCGCTCCGTCGCTCGCAACCTCGCTTGCAACTCCCTCCTTCTTCGATCCAGTTCGCGTATCTCCTCCTCTTCCCTCCTCAGATCTTCCTCCGTCATGACGTCGGCAGCAGCCGCGCTCTCTCTGCCCGCCTCTTCTTCCTCCTCTTCCGCATAACGGTCCAGGTTCAACCTGTCCAAAGCCTCTTGTTGCTCTGCCACCCTGGTCTCGTAGTACGCCAGCGTGTTCATCAACTGTTCGTTCTTTCGCCGCTGAGCCGGTATCCTCTCCAGCGCGCCAGGCAAGGGGTATACCGTACAGAGCTTCTCGGCACCGCGCAGTAGCACTTCGATGTCGAGTTCGCCGCCTCCACTTCCGGCAGGGTTGCGTCGCGTTATTTGTGCGTGAAGATCTCCGCCCAAGACGGCGGCCACGGCTGTGTTACGGCGCGTCGGGCCGCTGCTGCGCGTTGACTTGGCTGGTGGGCCTGTGGTGACCTCGCCGCCGGCAACGTTGAAGATGGTTTGTCGTCGGTTCGCGGGTTTTGGTGGATCGGGCGCCTGGGTAGTGGCTTTTGGGGGAGGGGGAGGGACGGAGAAGAGGGCTCGCTCGTGGGCTTCGGTGTCGCGAATCAAGGACGTAATGTCGTGGTTCGAGAGGAGGGCGTTGGTAAAGATTTTGGGAGGGGGGAAACTAGTGATTATGCCCGAAGGATGGGCTGGTTGTTAGAGAATCAAGACGCGATATGATGAGCAAAATGCCATCAAGACTTTGTGGAAGTGACCTACGGAAGGCTGTCGATGCTTTCGCATGAGGTGGAGATTTGCTCCAAGTGCGCCAGGAGGAGCGACATGGTGAAAGAATTGCGACGCGCCACGTGTGGAATGTTCGTTCTAATAATTGTGAGGAGGTTGTATGGATGTGATAATGTGCGACCGTCTAGGCGATTTAAATATGTCGTGTATTTGTTTCTCTTGCAACGTCGTTTGTTGTGGGGTTGGAGGGACCAAACTAAGTGAAGCTGTCGCCAGTCGGGTGATGTCCTGTAGGTTACTGTAGTCGGGACTTGGTGCACCGAGTGTAAACAAACAGCCCCACCCCCGCATTCCAGCCAGGCATGTGGGCCAGGGTTGGAAAGCTTCTACACTAGGTACAGCTCTACACTGTCTTAAGAACCGGCTACCTACTGGCCGCGCCTAGGAACGCGTGTATGCAAAGTACTCTATACTTTCAGAGAGTTGATTTGTTCACTTGGTTCTCGCACTCATCCTCATTGTAAATATCCCATTTACTCGTCCAAACTTTGATCTGAATCTCCTCCAAGACCTTTTACCCAATTCAAAGCACTGTCAGTCCCACCTATCACATTCTCTGGAATCATAACCCGGTGAGTCTGGGATGAAGAGCCCGGAACGAAACCGGCAGACCCCATCAAAAGACCCAACCCCACCTGCCGTGCTGGTACACTCAGCATCCAGGGGCACCCGCCAGCCTTTCCGATTTCCGAATGGACGGCCGGCATCCCCGTCCTCCGTCGTTTCACGTTGACCGTGTCCGACTTCTGAGTCTCGCAGCTGACAATCAAAGTGGACAATGACATTCGGCGGTGTATTGTGCAGCAGCGGACTGCCAGGTGCGAGCTGCCGAGCGTAGAGGTAGTCTTCCTTTCCACGTGTTGCGCCCCCGGTGAGCGCGGCGGGAACGGGAACGGGAACTTCATCCGTTTCCTTTGACTATCACCACTTGCCTTCCTCTGTCATCCCATGGCATTACAGTACACATCACACCTCCCGGTATTGTCCCAGTCTACCTTATGTATTCGATCCCAAATGTTTGCTCAAGTGAGTCCTCATCAAGGTGTGAAATGGCCCAGTTTCGCCCCAATCTGAATGCGCCAATGCGTGCTTGTCAATGCTCAACGGGCGTGGGCACGCATCGGTGGAATCCACGATCTGTGATGCAACCTCAAGCCTCAAACACAGAAGTTCACCACTCCCACAGCACACAACCCCACAATCCACTTGTCGGCCGCATCTTCCTCCCCGCCCTTTCTGCTCCTGAACTTCCATGCGACTTTCATGTCGTCTGTGCCGGATGTATATACATTCCTGCGCGTACGGTGCTGCCTCTGCCTTGTGATGCATCCGCTACACCAATTTGTCGCCCTCATTGGCCATGTAACCTACGTACATACTGCTGTAGGTACGCAGTTTCTGTCTTGTGTCAACCACTCCTCACCAGGATTCGTTCCGTAATCTCCCTTGTTCATCTGCTCAACTCGCTCACTCACCCGCGAGAACCCCTGGAGGCAACTGCGCTGGCCATGTTATCTATCACATAATGCCCTGGTCCCTGAATTACGCTTTCTTGCGCCTTTGCGTATAGACGCTTGACACGACTGACAAGTGGATGCAGTACCCAAGTTAAGACATTGCTCTACCAGCCGGGCACGGCATTAGCTACGAACTAGATACGAGAGAAAGGGGGGTTTTCTTCTTTGTCCAAGGTATCTAACACTTCCTCTCTCCGCCGACAGTCGGCCCTACCTGCCATTGATGTTTCTCGTCTGCATTTGTTTCACAATCCCGACATGGACTCATTCGGTACAGAATCTGGGGAAGAGTCAGGGGTACCCGGAGCATTGCTGCCCAAGTGGCCGCTATCCTCCCCGATAGCACTTGTCTTGTACCGGGACGCCGAGCCGAGTGGTGGTAGACGAGCATATGTTGCGGGTTTTCTCGCTCGTAACACAATCCCCAGATGTTATATGCTGACTTTCAAGAGCTCATCAAAAGCGTGGTACTGTCCCTGGAAAATGGAGCCCGTAATTGAATGGTGAGCAAGTTGCGTTGCAGTCCACACATATCCAGAGTGGCAGACCTATTTTCTCTTTTCCCACCATAAAAGCCGCTCGGGAGATAACACTTCTCGGTATAGTGTCGTTGTTCACCCTGCGGTTCTCCCGCGCCTTTTCAGGATAAGCTTTCGAGATAGCCGATCCCAGCTTACATACACCGTGGGCAATGTTTGTCGGCATCTTCCCATAGGCTACGGCTCCCGTCCCCGTTGGAAACAGGCCAACCGCAGGCATTACCTTGCCATCCTCCCGCAGCTCTGGGAACGGGCAAAAACGAGATTTCCATTGAGACATACATGGTATATCTCCCCATCATCCTTTCTTCACACCAAACAGCATCCGTCCTCTACTGGTCGCTATTTCCATTGGACTTTGCATCCTCGCCACCCCCGTGGTGAAGCTTGGATTCAATTTACATCCGACAGCACTATCATGACCAGCAGCCAAAGGCCATTTCAGTCTCCTAGTCGGAGGTTTCTTCTTTGGGTTTTAACACACTGACCCAACTTTCACTTAGTGCAGTGTATACTCTTTCTACTTGTGTACCACTTGTTCACCCCGGCGTCCAAGATCTTTTACCACCGGGGCGGTATCGTCATAGCGGCAATCATACCCCACAGCTACGGCGAACCACTTTCAACCAAATCCGGGCTCGTCACTTTCTTTTAAATTTTTGTAAAAGATAGCAACAGCAAACAATTCACCAAACTTCACCAGCATCAACCTGCCGAGCCTACCATGTGGCCGTCAAATCCTAATATCAAAGTCATACCCCAGGGTGCGGCACCTTCGTCCCCACCATTGTCCCCGGGCTCGAGCCGGAAGGGCAGTCCTTGGCACGGGCCAATGCCGCCACAGTTTTCCCCTCCACCAATGCCGTCCATCGCCGTGCTCCGGCCAGACGGCCTCTACGGCCCAAGCTTCAGTTTTGCCCGAGCAATAGACCCCGATCAGCTTTCACCACAGTCTCGTACCACCTCCTCGGCAACTTCCTCTGATTCAGACGACGATCCGGGTCCACATAGTCTTCCGCGATCCATGCAGCCGTCGCCGTCGCCGTCACAATCGGCGTTCCCACCATCAGCTCGCCCGGGACGCATTGTGACCAATCCCAACCTCATTATTGAGGAGATGAGCGACGGCAGCGATAATGATAATGACAATGTCGGTGTTCCAGTAATCTACCCGGATGCCATTGAGTACGCCGAATCGGAACGAAGCCGGTCTCGGTCCCGACGTCATCGAGAGGTTGATGAAAGCGTCATGTACAACCTCGGACAACTGAACTGCAGTGACGATTCAGACTCGACCGACATGGAAGAGGCCGAGCACCGCGAGATCCTGAGGCGGCAGCGAGAGGAGCGGAGACGCAAGCGGATGACGTCGGGCAGCATTGGCAAGCGAACCTTCAGCGAGAGCATCGGAAGCGACTCAGACCGCGATGACCCTAGAGACTGCAAACGGTTCTTCAGTGCGGATGATTTTGGGTCCTCCGGCGCACGCCGTATCTACCGGAGAGTCGGTGACCGCCGCCGCAGCAGCGTGCAAGTCTCGGATCCGCTGCCGCCGCCGAGGATCGACGAGATCGAGGAGCCAGATTCGAGCAATGAGGAGATTCTCGGTGATCACTCGATGCGGTCTAGGGAACATCCCCACTACGAATGTGTTATGGAGATTGATTCGCCTTGATCGATGGAGCAACGACAGAATTCTTATTTGTGGGCTTGGACAGACAGCGGTTCTCAGTCACAACACCTCACGACATGCATCAACTGAAGACTGCTTTGACGACTAGATGACAACAACGAACTAATGAACATGATATAGAGAGAAGCACTTGGCAGTTATGGATACCCGTATAGACACGAGTGATGATGATGACCATGAAGATAATACACCAAATCAAAAAAGAATAGGAGGCCAAGTTTGGGGCTCCTCGGTTTCCCATGAGCACTCAGTACAAAACGGACAAGGACAAATGATCAACTTCACTCAGCGCAACGGCTTTGCATTTTACAACTCGGCGTGGTTTCGAAGATGGCGATTTACTTTGGTGTACGGAGACCTTTACGACTAAAGAGTTGTTTCTTATGGCGTCCAAAGGAGCTTATGGCTGCATACTGGGATTGCACAGAGGAAATGAATCAGCGTTTGTTGAGTTTGATGGCATGTTTAGGCAACCAAGTGTGATGAGCTAGGGATTTGGGCGGCTACGAGGGGAGTGGTATTGTACTTGGAACATCTAAGCGTTGTCTTTTTGTCGCTGTTACAGACTGGCTTGGCATTCGGGGTATCAAGGATATCAACTCTGGTTCATATACATCATAGTCAAAGCAAAGAGGCATATGTTATGGCCCTCTGTTCTAGTATGGTTCAACTTGCAATCTACCATTTCTTACCATCTCTACAAGATTCCCTAAACAGCGCACGATCTGATTTGGTCAGCTAATGTCATTTCATATGGGCTAGAGGAATATAAAGTCAACTGACATGCCGGATAACAACCCTTTTAAACAAAAATCACAAACGAGTCTCACAGAGTGGTCAGGCGACGTGATGGGGAAGACTGATTGACCATGATGGTGAAGTTGAAGACAGAGTGGGATGAGCGTTCACTTAACGCTTGGAGGATACAACGGCCCAAAATGATGATCTTCCAATAACCGAATAGGAGTCACACTTGATAACTTGACCAACTCTTCAGAATAAACAACTAGCAGTTATGTCCGACTCAACATTGCAACTAAGCTGAGTACTATACACCTAGCTCTTTGATGCCATTTGGTACTATCAACTAGAGAGGAGCGCCACATCCTTGTTACACTGACTGCGGGGAAGATGCCGTAGAAATTGTGGCTCAGCCAATGAACACGTCGCGCTGCGCGCTCAACAGAGCATGAATGCCTGCGTTCAAGCCACATTCCCCAAGGGCAGGTCAGTGCAGTGGATAAGTAGTGGCAGAGCCGATTGAGCATGCAATTCATCCAAAGAACAACTTCAGTTCGGATCGAAGTCCAACCACCAACAATTTCTTCCCGTGATCTTCCATCAAAACTCCAAAGCCACGATCAATAGAGGCATCCTATTCTCCAGCAGCTCGTGTCAAGGTACCAAGGCCCCGGGCACGTATTCCATTGCAAACACCTGCTGATTGCTGAGCTGCGCAGGGCTGTTAGTTAAATAACGTACCTTCTACTACATCGACGGAGCCACGCAAACGTACCTATATATTTGCAACTTTCCATCTTGCCATCGACATTCGCCCCCACACCACACGCCTACGCAGCAACGTCGAGGCTCTGTCGTCGGTCCTCTGCCCAACATTCTCGATTGTGCGATCACGGCCTGAACGAACTCGGGACACCAGACTTCGGTGGACAAAGCAACCATAATGAATCAAATGCCCGGTCAAGGCCAGCCCGGCCAAGGGCCGGCGCAGCCAAACACTCAACCTCCCGGTGCTGCTCCCAGACAACCGGCACTCTTGCGGCCCGAGTACATGCGAAATATCGCGTTCCTGACCGCCGAGGAGAAAACTAGCTACGAAAACGGATTGGCCACATTCTGGAAGACTTTTGAGGAATCGCCCGAAGGATCGGCGGAGAAGCTCGGGGCTAGGCGTAGCATCGAGCAGTTCAGCAAGATGTTGCAAGACAAGTTGAACCAGAAGAAGCAGGAACAGCAGCGCTACCTGCAGCAAATGCAGCAGATGCGACAAAAACAGCAGCAACAACAGCAGCACCAGCAGCAGCAGCAGCAGCAGCACAATCAACAAGTACAGCCCCAAGGACAACCTCAGGGACAACCTCAGGGACAGACGCAACAACAACAACAACAGCCACCACAACAACAGCAACAACAGCCTGGCCAACAACAGCCCGGCCAAGTACAGCAACACCAGCTTCAACAGCAACAACAACCACAACAACAACAACAACAACAGCAACCGCCCCATCACCAAGGCCAGGCCAAACCACCAGTTCAGCAGCAACAACCGCAACAACAGCCACAAATGCAGCAGCAACAGGGCCAGCAGCAACTGCCACAACAAGGTGGACAAACTCCCCAGCTCGGTAATGTTCAGCAATCGCCGATACCGTCGCAGATTGCTCCTGGCACACCCCAGAACACCGCAGGCGTTGCCCGTCCTGGACAGCCTGCTACAGCAGCGGGACAGCCAAACAAGCCTGCCATCCCCCAGGTTGTCCTCCAGCATGTCACGGCACTGCAATTCAATATACCTCCAACCATACCCGCCCAGGAACACAAGAAATGGGAATCTGAAACCAGGAACAAGTACATGAGGGCGTTTCTGACTCTCAACAGCAGCAACACGACACTGGTAAATCTCTTGAGCCTCATGGAAGAACGGAGAAACAACCAGAAGCCTTTTACGCCTGAGGAGCAACAGAATTTGCTGAACCGCAAAGCGATAGCAGAGAAGTCGTTCAATGACGCAAAGAACTATTGCAACCAACTTCGTCAGACAATAGTGAAGCCTCCTCATAACACCCCGCTGACGATTGCAATGCCGGGGTCTGGTAACAAGGCCGTCCCGATTGCGGCGAACACCACCCCGATGCAGAACCAAGCACGACCGCAACAACAAGGCCAACAACCTCAAGCGGCCCCTCAGCAAGGACCAACACAGGTTCAAGGTCAAGGGCAAGCCTTGGGTGCTGGAATGGCACCATCCACAGCCGCCATGAACGCCGCCATCCAAGCAGCCAAAAACGCTGGACAGATGGCGGGTGTGGGCGGAATGCCTCCACAACAAGGAGTGCAACAATCCCCTGCGCCCACTCATTCGCCTCAAATCACTGCCAATCAGTTGCAGCAGCATCAACAGATGCAACATCAACAACAGCAACCACAACAGCCCCAGCAACAGCCGCAGCAACAACAACAACAACAACCACAACAACCATCGCAAACACCCATTCAACCACAGGGACAACCTCAAGGGCAGCCACAAGCGCAGCCACATCTGGCACCCGCCACCCAAACTCCGGCCACCCAGGCTGCTATCCCGCAACAACAGCAACAGCAGCAGCCAGCCCAGAACCATATCAAAACCGAGCCTGGCTCGCAGCCCACTCCTACACCTGCACCCATCAACACGGCGATTCCTTCTGGCATGGTTGGGGTACAAGCAACTGGAACGCCCACTCAAATCTCACAGCGACATCAGACTCCGCAGCGGACACCCAACCAGCCGCTCTCGCACGCGGCGGCTATGAACCTCGCTGGACAGCAACGTGCCGGTTCCATTCCCGCTACTAACATACCTGCGCCGGTCGGCACACCCACCACTGCTCCAGGCAGCGCGGCGGGCTCAACGCAAGGACATCCCCACGCTCACCCCAACGCTATGCCCCAGACCATTCAGGCCTCCAAGTTTCCCATCGCCAAGACGCTCCCGGAAAAGGCGACACAGATTCCCACGCCCGTTGCAGGCCCGCCTGGTCGCCCGACTCTGAGCGGTGGCACAGCCGGTGTCGGCGTCATGAATCAGCCCGTCTTGCAGAAGACCCCGGCGTATCAGCTTGAGGGCGAGGGTGAGAGGGTTTTGAACAAGAAGAAGCTGGACGAGCTGGTCCGACAGGTGTGCGGTGGCACGGCTGAGGGCCAAGACGGAAATCTCTTGACACCTGAGGTTGAGGAGGTACGTTGTTTGCAATCTGAACAATCCTCTGTTTTTGCTTCTTCTTTTTGCGGAAGTCCGCGGTCATTCTTTAACCCCCTTAAGCAAACTCACAAACTTGTCACCACACAATCAGCTAACGTGGCATTCCTTTTTAGTCCGTCCTTGGTCTCGCCGATAGCTTTACAGAGAGTGTGCTCCACGCGGCGTCCCGCAATGCGAAAGAGAGAGGATCCAAGGTTCTTGAAATCCGCGATATCCAGCTTGTTTTGGAGCGTACCTACAACATCCGTATCCCTGGCTACTCTAGTGACGAGCTCAGGACGGTTCGCAAGGTGCAGCCCAATGCTCAGTGGATCACCAAGATGAGCGCGGTACAGGCCGCCAAGGTCATGCCTGGCAAGGGGGATCTTTAATGGAAGGGTATTCAGACCAGAATGAACAGAGGTTTCGGGTATCGCTTGTTTGCATCGATGGATGTGGTAATTCTTTTGAGGTGGGAAATGGAAAAGGGTGGCGTACTGGATGAGACGGAGGAAATACATTCATCTCGGGATACTTGTATGTTTATCCCTGGCATGAGCTACCCATAATATGGCTTAGGTTGAAGCATCAATCCTTTGTGGGTTACAGAAACAAGCTCCAAATTCAATGAGTGGCTAGCAAGTAAAGATTTGACGTGATATGCCAGATGATGCAGGGTTCAGGAGGCATATGCATTAGTCAACCCCGTGAAAATGCCATCATGGGAATACAGACAAAAAGCGAAGACTAGACGTTGTATAGGCGACGGTTGTCAACACCGGCCTAAAATAGGAGCCATGTCTCCCAAGACCAACTCGGTTGTGAAAGTCTACGTTGGTCGTTGGGATGTTGTCTACCCTACACTTCAGTTGTAGTACTATAATGTAAGGTGTACGTACCTAAGTACCTAAGTACCCTGCCTCGAGCCTGCCTGGAACGTCGTCGACAGGCAGCACATCAACAACGTCAGTGACGAGCCGCAGTGGACCCATTCAAGACAATCTGGCCAATCATAATGCTTAGATGTGTGAAGCTCTTCTGGAGCTTGTCTGAAGGCCACCATAGCACTCACTGCACAGGGGGGCCCTTCAGTTGGTTGTCGTCCGCTCTTCCATGTATGGCCCGTGTCCGTTTGGCGACCAACCGTGGCCGGCACTTTCAATCAGTTCAACAACTCCCATCAAGCAAACCAGCCCGGTCTGTGAAGCTCGAACTTTCCTTTCCTGCACCAAACTCCGAGTACACAGCTTGGATTGAATTACCTAGGTAGTTATCATAATATCGTCAACGACGACGAAGCAGTTTGCCCTTGGCCCTCGCTTAACAACGCCGACGACGAGGTCACCCCCATAGGTACTTCTTCTAGTGCTCCATTCCCCGCCTAGAGCTAGATCCACTGCGACTCTGCCAGCTGCTGCTGCTAAAGGTGCTTGCTCCAGGCTTGCAAGAAGGGCGCGCTTCGCGAGATCGCCCCAAGCAACTCAAACTCATACCTCTGCACGATTAGGTTGCCCACCAAAACGGCGTCATCATCACCGCACCACAGCACTCCAACATCACCCACCGCGCCAACGCAACCGTCAACCCCCCACCACATCATCACCCCGTTTCCCATCGACCATCGGGCTGTTACCAAGGCAGCAACCACGAGCTCTAGCCCAGCCATCCTATAACCCGGAACCGCTCTAGATAAGGAACCACTTGAGCACGGAAGCTATTGGGGTGGAAAGGATCTCGACATGACGGACAAGGATACCAAGAAGTCGGGAAAGCAAGGCGAGGACGAAATGACCGTCGTTGTCCCCCCTCCCAAGAACAAGCAGAACTCTGCGCAACCTCCCAACGACGCCGATGGTGACATTGCCATGGAAGACGACACCAAGGCCGGCGAGGTTGAGGCCCAGGTCGACCCCGTCGCCCAAACCATCAGCGGTACGATACCTTGCCAATCCCCAGCTTTTATCTTTGCGAGCTGAACTAACCATCACTCGCTTGCGCAGATATCAAGAGCAACTTTGCGCTGCTAGACCGTGCTGTTGCCCTGTTCGATCCCAGATTCTCTCTACGGGCACTGCGATCCATCTCGTCGATTCGGAAACGCCTGACGCCCGACATCCTCGCACAAGTCGTCTCAGAAACCTTCTCCGCGTCCTCACCCAATACTCAAGTTGCCGAGCACCTGCTGCTCGCTGTCGACCGGCCAAATGTGACTCTCGGCAGCAGCTCAGAGATGGAGATCGACTCGGGATCCAAGTCGCCAGCTAAGAACGGTGGCAAGAAGGAACCCAAGGAGATTATTCCGGAGATCGACATCTTCCTAGGCATTCTGGCGCAGGTCCACCTCTACGACACCAAACAGTTCCAGCGCGGATTCGCCCTGTCGCGTTTCCTTTCCGAGCGTATCCAGTCCCTCAACCGCCGCACATTAGACAGCCTCTCAGCCAAGGTGTACTTTTACTTCTCGCTCTTTGCCGAGCAGCTCGCTCCCCTCCCGCCTTCCCCCCAGTCGCCGATTGTGTCGATCCGCCCCATCCTCCTCGCCGCTCTCCGAACCGCCGTGCTACGAAAGGATATCGACACCCAGGCTTCCGTCATTGTCCTCCTGCTCCGGAACTACCTCCACACGTCGCATATCTCCCAGGCCGATCTGCTGGTGCAGCATACGCAGTTCCCCGAGAACGCTGCCAACAACCAGGTCGCGCGTTTCCTGTACTACCTCGGCCGTGTCCGTGCTATCCAGCTACGGTACACCGAGGCCCATGAGCATCTCACTGCGGCGACACGGAAGGCTCCCTCGAGCGCCTGCGCGCTTGGCTTCAGCCAGACGGCGACCAAGCTCCTGCTCGTTGTAGAGCTCCTCATGGGCGACATCCCCGACCGCGCCATCTTCCGTCAGCTGACCATGGAAGCCACTCTCCACCCGTACTTCCTGCTCGTCCGCGCCGTGCGCGTCGGCAACCTCGAGGACTTCGAGACCACCATCGCCCAGCATGCCGACACCTTCCGCCGCGACGGCACCTACAGCCTGATTCTGCGCCTGCGCCAAAACGTCATCAAGACGGGCATCCGCATGATGAGTCTGAGCTACAGCCGCATTTCGCTCCGCGACATTTGCATCCGCCTGCACCTCGGTAGCGAGGAGAGTGCCGAGTACATTGTGGCCAAGGCGATCAGGGACGGCGTCATCGAGGCCACGCTCGACAGGGAGCGCGGCTTCATGAAGAGCAAGGAGGTGGGCGACGTGTATGCCACCAGCGAACCGGCCGAGGCGTTCCATGATCGTATCCGCGCCTGCTTGGCTCTGCATGATGAGAGTGTCAAGGTATGTCGTCTGAATCCCAGATGTTATCAATGATTATTTTTTTTGCTGACAGATTCTCTCTTTGCAGGCCATGCGTTTCCCCATGAACCAGCACCGTCTCGAGCTTAAGAATGCCCAGGAAGCACGAGAGCGCGAGCGTGATTTGGCCAAGGAGATACAGGAGGGAGATCTGGATGAGGATGATCTCGGTGGTGACTTTGAGGGCATTTAAGAAGTTTAGACACACAGACACACACATACGAGTCTAACTACCTAGATAGACCCTGCCCAATACCTATAATTTGGTCTTGGGAGTCATCATCATCATCATCCTTGTTGTATCTAGTAATCTGTTATGGAATCATGCTACCACCACCGGCTAAGAAATAGGAAGAAGAAGAAGAAGAAGAGAGAAGAAAGAGACAGAGAGCCTTTTATGCTAAAGAAAATACGCTATAACCGTATACCACTTGCTGCCTCATTTGTCCTTTTTAAACGTATCGTTATGGTCGTATTGTCCCAAAACAGTGCAACAACACCCGTGCCCCCTATATCTGTGAGACCTGCGCGTGCATACAATGTCGTACCTATTCACAACCACCCATCACCATTTCATGCATGACTTTTTCTTTTGATCCTCATATAGGTAAAACAGGATAATTTTAAACCTGTTTATACTGAAAGTCTAGGTTGATGCCATCATATCATATCATAAAGTACAGAAGAAAAAAATAAGAGAAAAAAAAAAAACCCCCCAAAAAACTGGCTACCCTAAACAAACCCACTTCACATCTCTTCCATAAGTCAGTCAACATTCCGACTGACTGACTGAGTCCACTAAGCAGCCCAGCCCAAGACTAAGCAACAACCCTCCCCCCTTCCCCCTCCAATCCCACCCTCTCACACTCCAACACCAACGGTCCCCCCGCCGGTCCGCTCGCGTCCAAGCTCAGCGTCACCCTCGCCCGGTCACTAATGACTTGCACCACCTCTCCGAGGTTCTTATTATCTGTTTCGTAGTGTCCCTGTGGCTGCTGTGGTTGTGGTTGTGGTTGTTGTACTGCACCACCAGCCTGCTGCCCTTCGTTGTTTCTAGTCGGAGAAGTCGAAGAAGAAGAAGAAGAAGAATGAGAAGCAGTAGCAGAAACAGCAGTAGCTTTGACCTGCTTGATATCCACGCTGGGATAAGGGAGGTATCCCTCTCTGAGCGGGATCAAGAGGAGGGGAATATCGGCTTCTGTTTGGGGGGTTGAACTTTCTCTAGTACTACTTTTCTTTTCCCCGTCTTGATCTGTGGGGTTGCTAGTAGTAGCAGCGGGAATAACAAAGTGCCCTTTTCGTCGACCGCCCACTAACCAAGTGTCAGGCGGAGCGTTAATCTCGTAGCTGAATTCGAGGTCTTCGGAACGTTGAGGGGAGGCAGGGAAGACGGTGTCCCAGATGCGCGTCCATTTGAGCCGGAGGGTGGCGGGGAGTTGTTGGTTGATGATGAAGGTTGGGTGGCCTTGGACATCGTCAAGAGAGGTAGAGGTGGAGTTGGAGTTGATGGGTAAGGGAGGTTGTTGGAAGACAATGTCGGTGGTGTGGACGATGGTGATGGGAGGGATGTCGACGGGGATCAGGATGGTGCTGATTAGGGAGCTGTCGTGATTGGGAACGGATAAGGGGAGGACGGGATTGGCGAGGAGCCAGGACCGGAGGAAGGCGGCTAGTTGGGCAGCGATTTGGTGGCTGTCTTCGCCTTTCAGAGAGGAACTGGAGGTGGGCCCGATGCCGGGGAATTGGGTTGCCCAGTTGACGTCGGATAGAAAAGAGGTGGAGAGCTCGCCGAGCAGAGTGCATTTCTCGAGTTCGTACGCCGTTAGCCGCTTTTGGCTCCAGGCGAGGACTTTGTAGACGATCAGCTTGGAGTACTGCCGAAGGGGTGTGTCTGCGAGGTCTTTGGTGAGGGTCTTGTCGAGTAGATCCTCGATCTCGTCTTGTAAGACGCTGTACCAGAGCTTCAGGTAAAGAGTCTTCTTTGTGTTAGGGCCAATAGTCACCCCAGGTTTCTTGGTGATCTTGTACAGCAGACTGGCCGGTTGCTTGGGGAAGATGGCGACTGGGTCGCTTGGTGGTATTCCGTAATGTGACTCGAAGAGTTCCGAGGGAATAAGCTCGCTCTTGTACAGCCTCAAGGGACTGGGACTAGCAGTGGAGACGGTGAACCGGGAGAAAAGCGCCTTGTGCTTAAACACGTCCTGGACGTTGACGCCTAATGCAAGAGCAATGGAGACCGAAGAGGTCTTGAAGAACGTAAAGGTTCCCTTATCGGTTGAGTATGTTACTTCAACCTTGACAGCAACGTGGAGTACATCCTGCTCCATCTTAAAAGGGAAACTGATCTTGACGGAGCTGTCTCTTGTGATAGCGCCAAACGTAAACGTTCCACCCTCGGCTTTCTTTGACTTGGCTGCCGACTCATCAAGGATTACAGCATCCCCCATTAGGAGCCGCAAGCCTCCCGTTGCCGACTTGATCTTCACCTCAGCACTCGTAATGTCGTTCCAGCCAGTCATGACCTCGACCTCCAACATGTTGTTTGTGTCTAGGCGGATATCCTTGCTGCTGGAGAGGCGGACGTCAAGCGAGCTCGTGCGTTGGTAAAGCGTTACCACAGGGTTCTGCAGGACAGGGAATGGTTTCTCCACCACTTGTCCAAGCTCACGTTCAAAGTGCAGCAAGATATTGCTGCTCTTGATGCGGATCTGGTCAACCTCATAGTTCCCTGGCATCAACATGTAGCTTTGTAGTGGAACCTTGTTTCGACCAGGCTTGATTGTCACGGGGCCTTTGGCCTGCACCCAAATCTCCTTGTTGCCGCCAAACCCGGGACTGGATATGCGAAGGCAGACAGACTCTGCATCAAACTCGTCAACGAGAAGACTCCTAAGCTTCAGCGAGAGCGAGAAACTATCTTGATCATCGTCATAGGTTGGCGGTCCGTCAAGCTCAACTTCACCAAAGAAGTTGGTCAATGGTATCTTGACCTCTTTCTCTAGTGTTGCCGAAACTGTCAGCATATCGGCGAGGAAGCCAGATATCGCCGAATTTTCTGGGTACTGTGCGCCTGCCCCATTGCCAATACGGATCTTTGACTTTTGCTGTAGCCTATCTCGCTCAGCTGCTGCAGCCTTTGTCAAGAGCTGACGAAGGGCCTTGGTGACGTAGTCTTCTTGTCTACCCAGCTCCTTCAAACACCTGGCATACATGACGAGCATGGACAGCTCGAGCAGACTCCACGAACACCCCCCAAAGAACGGGATCGTATTGTAGAAGTAATATTCGGCCTCCTTGTACTCGGAAAGATGGAATTTGAGGACCGCGAGGTCGGCCTTGGTGGCCTGGACTGAATGGTCATACTTGGCGACAGAGTAGTGACGCATCGCCTTGTCGGTTAACGTCTCGTACAGTCGATAGAAATCATCCTTGTTGTCCAGTGCAGTACGTAGCAACTCGTTGCCTACACCAGCTACCGAGGCCTGTAGGTCAGAACCGACCTCAGTTGAGGGTTTCGCTTCTGACGAGGGCTCGTCGTCAAGGCTAATCTCTTGCAAGTCGGTACTCTCTCCTACAATGGGTACTGCGGCCCAACCGTTAGTCCAGCCGCGTCTTTTACCACATTCTTCGAGAACGTTTCGAGACAGCGTGTACAGCTCAGCTCTTGTCGCAGCCAACTCTTCGAGCCCCGTCTTAAGGAACTGAGCCATGCCATACTCGCCAACGCTGTCTTTACGACCAGGCCCTGGAAAGCCAACAGGACTGGGCGGAGGACGTTGTATAGATTGGCGCAAGGGGATGGACGACGACCGCGCAGGATGCATCATGGTTTTTGGTTCCGGGATCGCGGACTTGTGTTCGCTGTCACCAGAGGTGGCCAGCATGGGGGCAGGGATTTGCAAAGACTTGGTGGAAGTCTGGGCAAGGATTTGCTGCGCAACGGAAAAGGCGAATGAGGCAACGATATTGTCAATGACCTCGGCCAGTACTGGGTCAATTTTCTGAAAATCATCACCAGCCCCGACGCCTCCCTTCACCAGTCCCAAGGCGGCTAGAATGTCCTTGCGGATGAGCATGGAGACTGCAGGAACAAACTCCAATGTCCTCCTGCAGATCTCGGCAAGCTGTGAGAGGTTTTCGGATTCATCTGATGCCTGTTTTGGCGGTGGTGCCCTGGGTGCAACGCCGCGGGGAGCCATGTCTTGTTGTTCCTTGAGTTTAGCAAGGAGTTCCTCTCTCGTTGACCAGGCGTTGCCCAGACGCAAAAGGAGGGCAACCTGCCGGGAGAAAATGTAGCATCGGAAGTCGAAGAGCGAAATGTTGTTGGCAAGAATCAGTTCGCGATATGGTTTCTTGGTTGAACTGATGGGAATAGCGCCAAAGGGATCCGTATCTTTCACCCGCTTGCTCGTCTGAAGATCAACTGTCTCCTCATCTTCGAACTCCATACTTCCTGAAAAGATCTGGCTTGCAGCTTGCTCAGCAAGAATCTTGAGTTCTTCAGTATAGTCGAGCAGAGCTCCACCGTGAGCTTCAGCCGAGCCAGAAATGGCTTGCTCCTTGATGATAGCGTCTAGGCCAATGCTCAGCTCGTCATAGCCAACCAGGGCATCCTCTACAAGGCCGACGCTTTCGAAACCTCGAGCCAATCCTTCCTTCAAGATGAAGAAGGTGCAGAAGTTCCAGCCAGGCAGACCCCTTTGGGCATCTTTGTCTTTTATGTCCTCCTCATATTGGGTGACACGGATGTCGAAACTCGATAGAATCAGCTCCTTGATCTTTCCAATCAAGTCCTGCCAGGCATTTTCGCTGTCCTGCTCTGTCTCCTGGTAGCCAGTTGGCACGGCGGGAACAACGCGCGGAAGGAGATCGTAGGGGACGTCATTGATGCCAATGCGGATCTGCCTCACGCGGTCAACGGCACCCTTGCCTGTACCGTTGAAGTCATTGCGTAGCTTCTCCAACAGAGTGCTGGACCCAGTCCGCCACTTGAGAGCTGAAGTCTTTTCGGAACTCGAGTCGGCCGCTTTGCTCCCGCTTGATCGCGGCTGGGTGGCGGCGACAGTGTTGGGTATGACAACGTGAACGATCAACCATTCAAAGGCGTCGTGGTTTTCAGCATTGCTCGCCGTTTTTCCCGGAGTCAACGAGTGAGTGTTTGCCTTGATCCATTCGCGGATCTCGGATCTTGTC